CGAATCGGGAGAGGCGCAAGGCAACGCGCTGCCTTCACTGAGTCTATTGTCAGTTCATTATGATAATAAACCATTCCTTACATTTGCAGTTCACTGTAGGTGTAGCTGTTGTTGTTGTTGTTGTTGTTGTTGTTGTAATCGTGCAGTTTCTATGCATAAAGCGTTGTCGCAGCTTTACTTTTTCCTGTTTTTCAATTAGTATGTTCACTGTGTTGGCATGAGACACTGTAAAAGGATAGAATGTCCATCGAAAGCGTTATTATTATAGCTTCAAGCAGCGAAGTGAATACTTAATGAATGCTTAATGAACTTGCGACATTTGAGTGTTGAAGCAAATTAACTGAAAATCTTTAGAAATTATAACTGCTTCATGTGACAGCTCGAATTCCTGCTTTCTTGTGCAGCTGATAGCTGATAGTTGATATATATATATATATATATATATATAAATATATAGAGAAAGATCTATATATAGCTTTAATGCTGACAATTGCAACCTGAAAAAGTTTTGTTTTGAGTTGGCATCAAAATGAATGCAATTCACGCTTGAAAAATAGAAAGATGAAAACATAACTTTGACATTACGATATATATCTATATATATATATATATAAATATATATAGATATCTGTATATATATAATAATATAAACACATATCTTATCACCTTCAACATAGTTAGCTTTGATTTTTTGCTTTATGAGGTCGTCTTTGGTATTTAAAATATTTTCATACAGTTTTAACTTAATAAATTTTATGATAAATTCGTAAACAATTGTGAAATTACTTTACGTTTTGGAGAGTAAATTTATTAGGTTTGTTTTTGGTAAATAAAAATATATTTTTTCATTTAAAATATTTTCTTCACTGGCTAACGTGACAGTTGATATGCTTTACGTGACGTAAGCCGTGTTATGCAGTATACGTTATACGTTAGCTGCTATGCATGGTCTGCGCTACGTTGACTTGGTTACGTTAGCTATTACGTTACAGCACGTTACGTTGGTCAGGCCAGCGGAACATGCCGTGCGTATACGTAATATGCGCATTCAAGGAAAAGATCTTCTAGATATACTTTTAATGTTTGCTCAGCTCGCATTGATTGCGAATTCCTTCAGAAATTCATTTATCAGTGATCTGAAACTAGTTTAGCGCTGACTCGATCATTTTCGCTAATTGTTGCAGTTGTTTATTAGCGTATTTAAGTGCCCGCCGGTCCGTTTGCTTTCTCGCTTTATTAGCTCTACGCAAAAAAGGCCGAATAAACTTTTGCATGTGTACACAGTTGTGCACTTGTGTACAGAGATGTGTGTGCGTGTGTGTGTGTGTGTGTTACCTTAATTGGCAATGTTTTTTCTTCTTTTTACCTTTTCATTACTTGCTGTTTACGTCGAAAATTTCTAGTAAGCAAATAAATCGCTGATGCCACGCCCCGCGTCTGCCCCAGCGTCAGAAGCTGTGAGCTTAATGCCTGAGTGCGTTTGCAGTGCTACCAAATGGGCGTCTATTGTTGTTGTTGTATTCGCTTTTTTTGTTTTAGTAGCTGGTGTAGCTATTGCCGTGCGTCAGTCAGCGTCACCTTTATTACAGGTGTGTCTGAGCAAGTGCATAATCAATGTGAATTTCTGTGCGAATTGAGCTCAGCTAGTTTGCCCAGCCTCGGCTGCCATTGTCAGTCGATTTCTATATGCATATGTCTTGACATGCTCTTATAATACCTATATATATATATATATATATATATATATATATTTATGTATGCATAGAAATATCTTTCTCGCATTTTTATTTAAATGAAAAATCATGTGAGACGACAAATGCATTCATAGAAAACATTGCAACGGTGGGAAAAGAGGCCAACAAAAGGCGACTGGGAGAAAAGCAAATTGTACAACTCAAACATATCCTGTTACTTGACGAGCAGCTTGTGATAATGTACAGGGTATCTGTAACTGAAACAGTAGCTGTCGATTGTTTAGTTTCGAGTTTGCTCCATATTTTTCGGCTGTCTGAAACGAAAGGAATATGTTTATGTACGCTGAGAGTGTTTAATTGCTATTTAAAGGGAATCTCCTGTTTCGATTCACCTCAATCAATAAATAAGAAATGCCTTTGGTTTACAATTGACTTAAGTTCAACTTGGAAACTTAAGACTTATTGCCGTAAACGAAAAACGAAATTTTCCGGCTTCTGTGGCTTCTCAGATTTCTGTGCATTGTTTTTCATGACGAAGAATTTCTGTATCGGGCCCACTGATAAGACGGCGAATGGCAGCTACTGCATTTGATAAGCCCAGCGATTGCACATGATAAGGCAGCAGCGGCCGTTGTTGCCACATTTGTAATTGCATCATCGATAAAAGCGGAAACGAGCGCGTCTGCCCCCATTTAACAGCAACAACAGCAACAGCAGCAACAACTGTGACTAATGTGATATTAATAAAGTAATATAATTTATCTCTATAGAGTTCGGAAACGGTGCAATGTCCTGTCTCCAACGTTTTACGAGTCGAGCTAAATGGCATTGCCAAAAGTGAAGCGCGAGCTGCGAGTGCGATCTGTGACTTTTGCTCAAAATGCTAACTAATTGTAACTAACAACGAAACGTCGTAAACATTATAATAAAAACTATACTTAAACAAACGTGTGCTATAAAAACAACAACAACAAAAACAACAACAATAACGTTAACAATAGACAAATACCAAAGATCAAAGGCAGCATTGGAATGTTCGACGTGCCGCCCAAGTGTCCAGCGCTGGCTAACAAATTGAGCGGGCTCTTTGGCTGGCGGCACACCTACAAGGTGTCCGCCAAGCACGAGGGCATACCCCATGGCAACCTGCACAAGTCCTACTCCCTGACGCTGCCCAAGCGGCCGCCGTCGCCCAGCTACGCCTGCGTCAAGGTAACGCCCCCTTTCAACTAATTAATATGTGATCGAAGACTTTAAGCTTAGCACTTTTGGGCATGTCGCCCGATAAGGCCGACAGACACGCCCACTCATCGAAACGCCCACAGAGAGATGCAAATGCTTTATGATGGCCATTGTTAGTCCATCGACGCATCATTTCCATTGATAAATGTCCATAAAGAAACAATCAACGAGCTATGAAGAGGGTCAGAAAAAAGACAAACAAACAAAGAAAATCAATAAGCAAACGCACAGTGGTCAAAGTAGCACAAATATTGCGCACAAAAATATTACTTTATGCAGATGAAATTAAATTTTTACTTATTTAAAATTGTTTACAAATGACTTTATTATTGCTTAAACTTAAGACTATATATCTATTTAAATCTGAAGAATCTTAAGAACTAATTTTTGAACAAATGAACTTTATTTGTAGTGCAAATTGATTCGCTTGATTTTTCCTTTGCTCTGAACTGTATAGGTTTACCATGTAGGAAAAATTAAATTGATGTTTCGTTCATGAACTTGTTCGTTCATGAACTAGTTCGTTCATGAACTAGTTCGTTCATGAACTAGTTCATTTATTCTAATTCAATGGTTCTTTCTATTTTATTCCAGATAAGTCTTGCTTCTTCCTTGTCTTTTAGCACAGTGCTAATAGCTTTCGACACACTGTGCGCTTGCTAAGCCATTGAGAAACAACAACAAAATATCTAAACAATAACAAAATCAATTTGTTTGGCCTTTTACTCTCGCTGTTTGCAAATCGATAGAATTCACGCTCTTTGACCCATAAATTCAAGAAGTATCACAGCAACAACAACAACAACAGCAGCAGCAGCAGCAGCAACATTGTTGAATGATTTTTTTCTATCTTTGCCGCAAACAGTAAAAAGAGCGAAAACTAGAAAACAACCTTCCAAATTGTTGCGTCAAGTTGACGTTCCAGTTCTCCAGTTCAGGGAGCGAAGCGCACGCTCTGCTGCTTCCATGACTGGTTTAATGGCGTGATGCAATTGTTGTTGTTGCCATAGTTGCTGTTGCTGTTGCTGTTGTTGGCCAGTTTTTCGGCATTTGGCATTTGGTGTGTGTGTTTCGGTATTCAATGGAATGCCAAGCAACAATGACGCCAACTTGATTCGGCTTTTCAAGCTTGGCCCGCTGCAATTTTCGTTTTGCTTTTGGGAGGCTGGAGGTCGTCTCGATTCTTCATAGTCTCTCTCTAAATGGCTTCCCATGCTGCTTAAGCAGAGCCTCAGCCATTGGAGCCACCTGAGCTGCGTCAATGACTCAACACATGGCCAATTGGCCAATTGTCTTTTGTGGCCCGGAAGCGCAGCGCATGCGCGCCAGCTGCATTATCCCAGGCTCGTCTTCGGCTCGAATTGGTTGCGTTTCTGTCTTGCCTTGTGGCTGGCAAAAGTTCCGCGCCGTGGCCATTTAAGAGACCTGTTCGTATGCATAGACGAGTCATTATGCAAAACATTCAAATGGCTCCAAGAACAGAAACATAAAATATATAACTAATATAAATATGAAGTGATGAAATTGAGTGAATATTGTGGAACTAGTCTCTCCCAGCTGATTTAAACTTTAAGCTGCGCAGATTTCAATGAAGCTAAGCCAATGAACTAGTTCATATGATAGATATGTATTTAAATATGTACTTAAATGCTAGAATAGAATTTTATTAAAAGATTGTTAAGGTTTTTGTAAGTTTCTGCTTAAAAATATGAACTAGCTTTTTTGGGAACTAGTTAACTAGAACTAGATCTTTTCTTTGCTGAAAAAAAATATATAGAAATACTTCTTTAATCTTTTTTACACAAAACTTGAATCAAAAATATACAACTAGCTCACAAGATTCTGAACCAGTTCATTTTTGTCTCCAAAAAACAAATTAATCATTGTTGATGAACCATTTTCTGTACTCACTAGTTCGGGTTATTGAACATAGCTGTGGAACCAGTTCATAGAGCCAAAGAACCTCGAAGTTGAAATGATGTGTGGAACTTGTTCCAGTTCTTCATTTAACTCCGTATTCACATTTCCATTAACATTCGATTTCATTTGCTGTTTTGCTTGCAGGAAGCGGACTCCTGGGTGGCCGTACACCATCTGCAGACACAGTCAGGCATATTGGATCCCGATGACTGTGTGCGCGATGTGGCCGATGATCGGGAACAAATATTGGCTCACTTTGAGGATTCTGGGCCCGATCCGGGCGTACCGCAGGGCGGGGGCGATGGCGCCTCAGGCAGTTCCTCAGTTGGAACTGGTTCGCCGGACATCTTTCGTGATCCCACAAACACAGAGGCGCCCACGCGCGATCTCTCCACGCCGCACATTGAGGTGCCTAGCACCACGTCTGGCCCATTGGCTGGTCTGGGCGTCGGCCTGATGGTGCGTCGTAGCAGTGATCCCAATTTGCTTGCGTCACTCAAGGCGGAGGGCAGCAATAAGCGTTGGTCGGCGGCGGCGCCGCACTATGCAGGCGGCGATTCACCGGAACGCCTGATGCTGGACAAAGCCGGCGGACAGCTGTCGCCACAATGGGAGGAGGAGGACGACACAGCGGCACAACTGAAGGAGCAACTGCTCCAGCAGCAGCAACATCCACACGCCGGTGCAGCGGGCGCACACCAGCCATTCGCTCGCTCCGGCCGTCTGTCCATGCAGTTCCTGGGCGATGGCAATGGCTACAAGTGGATGGAGGCGGCCGAGAAGCTGCAGCAACTCCCACAGCCGCTGCCAACGTCGCTGCCGAACAGCGCCTATTCCAGCAAATCGCTGCCGCGCGAAAGCAAGCGCAAGGAGCCGCTCGGCCAGGCATACGAGTCCATACGCGAGAAGGATGGCGAGATGCTGCTCATTATCAATGAGTATGGCAGTCCGCTGGGCCTGACGGCCATGCCGGACAAGGAGCATGGCGGCGGGCTGCTCGTGCAGCACGTGGAGCCTGGCAGCCGGGCCGAGCGTGGCCGTTTGCGTCGCGAGGATCGCATTCTAGAAATTAATGGCATCAAACTGATCGGGCTAAGTGAGTCGCAGGTGCAGGAGCAGCTGCGTCGTGCCCTCGAGTCATCGGAGCTACGCGTGCGCGTGCTGCGCGGCGATCAGCATCGTCGCCAACAGCAGCGGCGCGACTCCAAGGTGGCCGAGATGGTGGAGGTGGCTACCGTGTCGCCCACACGCAAACCGCATGCCGCTCCGGTGGGCACCTCGCTGCAGGTGGCCAACACACGCAAGCTGGGCCGCAAGATCGAGATACTGCTGAAGAAGGGACCCAACGGCCTGGGCTTCTCGGTGACCACACGCGACAATCCAGCTGGCGGCCATTGCCCCATTTATATTAAGAATATATTGCCGCGCGGCGCTGCCATCGAGGATGGCCGCTTGAAGCCGGGCGATCGTCTGCTCGAGGTCGATGGCACGCCCATGACCGGCAAGACCCAAACGGATGTGGTGGCCATTCTGCGGGGCATGCCCGCCGGCGCCACAGTTCGAATCGTTGTCTCTAGGCAGCAGGAGCTGGCCGAGATGCCCGTTGGCGTAAGTTGAACTATTTTGCTCAGTTTCAGATTCATTTCTAAATGAAATAACTATCTTATAGCCACCAGAACCAGTTGAGAAGGCAGCGCCAGTTCCCGTTTCTGCTCCGATTCCGGTTCAAAAGTCAAGCAGCGCTCGCTCGCTGTTCCAGCAACAGCAGCTGCAGCAACAGGCACAGCTCAATGAATCTCAGCACTTTATTGATGCGGGCAGTGAGTCGGCGGCCTCCAATGTAAGTGATTCATGGAACTAGTTCCAAAATTAAAAAAGTAATCAAACTCGAGCTCATGTAGTTGATCGGTGAACTAACTAACGTCAGCTTAATCAATTTGGTAGTAATAAGAACATTTGGATTCCGATAAAGGAACTAGTTCCAGCGTTTGAGAATATACATACATACATGGATGCCTTTGAGTATACTAGAAGGAAGCAGTTTAAAGAGAGGGGTGAATGATTTAACTCATTTACAACTCTTGATGTGAACTAGTTTATAAGCTAAAAATTAGTTCCATGGAACTAGTTTCATGATAAAATTAGTTCATCTGGATAGAGCTAGTATTAGACTAAAAAGGATCTATATTATGTATGAGGATCTTTATCTGTGGACACAAAATAGCACAGAGCCATACGACTCTGATACTTGAAAAGAACTAGTTCATTCATTTTAGAGGATAAATCATTAATATTTCTGGTAATTCAGTTTACTTTAGACTCGAGTAACGAAAGCAAACTGGTTCATTTGGTAAACTCTTTATTTTCAATTAAGATCCATTTGAACTAGTTCATTTGTAATAGCAATTATCAGTTATTGATCAGATTCCCTAACACGTTCACATCCTTGCGCCCACAGGACAGCCTGCCGCCGAGCAGCAGTAACTGGCATTCGCGGGAGGAGCTGACGCTCCACATACCTGTGCACGACACGGAGAAGGCTGGCCTTGGGGTCAGTGTGAAGGGCAAGACGTGCTCCAATCTGAACGCATCCACGCCCACAACTAACAGCAACATGAAGCACGACGGCGATCTGGGCATATTTGTAAAGAACGTGATCCATGGCGGTGCCGCATCGCGGGACGGACGCCTGCGCATGAACGATCAGCTGCTGAGTGTGAACGGCGTCTCGCTGCGCGGCCAAAACAATGCCGAGGCCATGGAGACGCTGCGCCGTGCCATGGTCAATAACCCGGGCAAGCATCCGGGCACGATTACCCTGCTAGTCGGACGCAAAATCTTGCGTTCGGCCAGCTCCAGTGACATATTGGAGCATAGTCATAGCCATAGCAACAGCAACAGCAACAGCAACAGTAGCGGCGCCAACAGCAACAACAACAACAACAACAACAGCAGTTCCAATGCCAGCGACAACTCGGGCGCCACGGTCATCTACTTAAGTCCAGAGAAACGTGAGCCGCGCGGCTGTGGCAATGGACCTGGCAGCGCTGGCAGCGATATGAATAGGTGGGTTTCGGGCAGAGCCAGTTGAGCTGGCCTAATGAACTAGAATTTGATTTTGTTATAACTTTTCAGATGGAGCAATCCCGTTTTGGATCGTCTAACCGGAGGCATTTGCTCCGCAAATTCAGCACAGCCAACACAACAACAGCAACATCCGCAGCAGCAGCAACAGCAGCAGCAACAGTCGCAGACGCAACAGCGTCGCTTGCCACCTCCGCCGTTGGGTGGCAACAACGCGGGTTTGCGCAACGAAAGCTACTACATGGCCACCAATGATAACTGGTCGCCGGCGCCGCTGCAGCTGCTGAATGGGCACGGCAACACGGCGCTGCTCATCGAGGACGATGCGGAGCCGATGTCACCGTAAGTTGGCAGCTATCACACTTAGCCTCGACCTCAATTGACTTTTGTTTACTTTGCTTGCAGCACGCTGCCGGTGCGCGCACACGATGGCCAGCACTGCAACACGAGCAGCGCCAACACATCGCAAACGAGCGTCGGCATGGGGCAGACCAGTGGCGTGGCAACGCCCGTCGTGGCTGGCAATTTCGATGCCACATACTCGTCCCAGCTGAGTCTGGAGACGAACAATTCGGGCGTGGAGCACTTTTCGCGCGATGCGCTCGGCAGGCGTAGCATCTCCGAGAAGCACCACGCGGCACTGGATGCACGCGAAACGGGCACCTATCAGCGCAACAAGAAGTTGCGCGAGGAGCGCGAACGCGAACGTCGCATTCAGCTAACCAAATCGGCTGTCTATGGCGGCTCTATTGAGTCGCTGACGGCGCGCATTGCCAGCGCAAATGCCCAAATGGCAGCCGCAGCGGCTGGCTATAAGCACGCCAAGACCAACTCCCATATCGAGCAGCGTGAACAGCAGCAGCTGCTGCTGGCCGCCGAGGCCGAGGCGCGCGATAAACTGGGCGATCTGGGTCCATCGCTGGGCCTCAAGAAGTCCTCGTCGCTGGAGTCGCTGCAGACCATGGTGCAGGAGCTGCAAATGTCCGATGAGCCGCGTTCCCATCACGCGCTGCGTGCTCCACGCGGACGCGGACGCGAGGATAGCCTGCGCGCTGCCGTCGTCAGCGAACCGGATGCAAACAGTGAGCAACAGTTGTAGCTATTGGTGGCGCCAACTTAGCCAGACCTGATTAACACTATGTTCTCTCCATTCGCTTTCAGAGCCACGCAAGACCTGGCTGTTGGAGGAGGGCGATCACGAGGGCGGCTTTTCCTCGCAGCGAAATGGGCCCTTCCAGAGCTCCCTCAACGATGGCAAGCACGGCAGCAAGTCGCGCGCCAAGAAGCCGAGCATTTTGCGGGGCATCGGACACATGTTTCGCTTTGGCAAGAATCGCAAGGATGGCGTTGTGCCTGTTGACACATATGCTACGTCTTCAATTGTGTCATCGGCGCAGCCCAACAATGGACAGTCGCTGCAGCAGCAGCAGCAACAACAGCAGCTGCAGCAGCAGCAGCAGCAGCAGATACCTGCCGCTGCACTTGCCGCCCTGGAACGCAATGGGAAACCACCAGCGTATCAACCACCGCCGCCACTGCCAGCACCAAATGCAGCGGGTGGCGGTGGTGCAGTAGCCTCTGTGGGCGCCACCGGTGCTGCCACACTAAATGGTGGCATACACCAAAATGATATATTCAATCATCGCTATCAGCACTATGCGAACTATGAAGACCTGCATCAACATCAGATTAGGTGAGCTGGGCTGGCTGCTTGCTTGCATTCATTTCATTACTCATTAGGTTAAGTGGTGCTGGCTTACAAGTAACTAACTTTCTGTACCTTGAAATGCATAAGGCAATGCAGTTAGATATATACTTAGATAAAACGGCAACTAATGGCAAAACTTAAGTTCAAGGAACTAGAATTTGTTGCTTCAACTCTTATAGAAATGACTCGAAAGTAGCAGCAGGTTCAAATCTAAGTTAGCTAAAGCAAACTTAAATACAGTGAACTGAATCTTGGGAAATGTTCCATTTTACGAACATTCCGAGAGAATGTTATTATTAATATAAAACAAACTTCAATGTCTGCTGACTATATCGAAAATATAGATCAAAAGCAAAAACTCGCACGAAGTCTTGAAGATTAAATAAGGGTCTCTAGTCTATGTCCTGTTTAAGTTTTACCCTCAGCTTGTTTTAATTTATTTGATTTAATGCAATCTAAATTGGCTCTATTTAAGTGCTTAGCACTGTACAATGTGTTTGTGTATTGTATTAACCCGTCTCTGTGTTTCATATCTCTCTTTCTCTTTCTACTCTGTGCACCATGTGTCATGTGTTTTTCTCTTACCTGTTCATACACTACTCACACACGACACGACACCACCACCACAACCACAACCACAAACGCCATGTTCACACACTATAACTAATGCATTAACCAACACTGGACACACGACAGCGACAGTGTTCAAGAGACGCTCTCGGAGTCGACGCTCGAGTGCATGCGACAGCAGGTGATCAGGCAGCGTATCAAGGTCGAGGCCGAAAGGTAACACACACACACACGCATACTAACACATAGCTATGGTTTGGAATTTTATATGTATCACACACACACATACCTAAGCACATTCTCCATTTGTATATTTGTATATGCGAACTTTGCTTTTTGCGCTTTTGCAGTCGCCGCCATCAGCATTACCATTCGCAGCGCAGCGCCCGTTCCCAGGACGTCAGCATGCATTCCAATTCCAGCCAGCAGCCACCATTGCCGCTGCCCCCGTCGGCGGCGGCAGTTGCCGGCGGGCATCAGCAGTCGAACGGCTTGCGTCCGATGAGCAGCTACTACGAGTACGACACGGTGCAGCAGCAGCGCGTGGGCAGCATCAAGCACAGCCACAGTCACAGCCATGGGCACAACCATGCGCACCACAATGGCAATGCCTCGTCGTCGCCCATCAGCGTGAATGTGGCGCAGCCCCACTGGAAGGCAGCGGCGCTCAATGGCTACTCGCCGGCATCGTTGAACAGCAGCGCACGCAGTCGCGGACCGTTTGTCACCCAGGTGACCATACGGGAGCAGAGTGGCATGCCGCAAGCGCAAGCGCCAACGCAGTCCCAGTCGCAGTCGCAGTCGCAGCAACCCACCTATCAGGTCGTGCAGAAGATAGCGACAGCGCAGTCGCAGTCGCAATATGGCAGCGCTGCCGGCGCCCAGCCGCATGCGTCGAAGGTGTGACTATAGGTGCTGGCGCATGCGCGCGCCACACGCGACGTCCTCGTGGAGGGCCAGCACAGCCGTCACTCGGAGCTGAGCGAGGTGGAGGTCTTCTACTATGCCACCGAGTGCTAAATCAGGGGCAGAGGCAGGTCGCATGTGAGGCGCCAGCGGCCGGCAAAACAAGCAATCAACTGGAAAGCAGTTTAAATACTTTTTTTTTTTGTTTTAAATACATACATATATAAATATGAATAATTTCATCATTTGACAAGGGCGGCAAGACATTCCCCAACACCCCCCTTCCCCCCCACACACACACACATAGTTAAGCTCATAAAATTACATTATACAATGAAAGTATTCTATGAGAGAGCGCATATTGAAGAGCAACAAATGCTGCTTTAAATACAGATATTTAAATATATATATATATATAAATAAATATACGTATATGAAAAGATTTACCAATGCATTGCGCTAAAATTAAGCTAAGACATTAATTGTATTAATCGCTAAGCCGAAAGTCAAAGACCGTGTAAATAGTTATTAAATATAGTTGGAATTGTGCGTGCCCAGGCGAAACGACAGGATGAAAGCTAAGGTAACTAACGCAAAGAACGAACCAATATATCATTTCATAGTGTATCTATTTGTATAAGCTGCCTTCGAGTCGCAAAAACATCGTAAACATTTCCTAAAATATTCCCTAAATTATGCTAAATGAAATGCTATTCATATCGATTGTATACAAAAATGAAAAATGAAAATGAAAATGAAAAATACTTTAAACTGTATTAGGCGCTTCAATCAAGCCAAAATCATGCTGTAAATATATAACTGGCATATATACATACATACTTAGACATATATTATGCATATATCTATTAATCTATAACATTTTTTTTTCGTTTAGCTTTAAAGCAGACGCCATTATGTATGCAAAACAAAAAGATAAAGATAAAGTGAAACTTAAGAGTCCCAATAATATTTTTTTTATATAATGTATCGTGGTTGCGTAAGCTACAGTTATATACAGTACTTAGAAATATTCACTTAATTATGTATTAGCAATTAGCAATGTACGTTGTGCAGCTTAAAGATGCCCCAGCATAGCGTTTGGGCACTTATCGAGAGAACTTGATGTTAGAACGTATTCATATGAGAACCATACACATTACGCTACATATTGTAATATTTGTGTATTATGTATATTGCAGAATTCTGTTGCGAATTAAACATTTAAGTTTCTATATATCAATATAAGTGCCTTGATGTTTTACTATTGAGCTAACGAACTAACAGATGTGTCTTATGCAGCTTGAAAGCATCTCACGTTAAGATCTGACAGCTTTTAATAATGATTTTCGGAAATCATTAGGCTTCAAAATGTACATTAAAAAAGCACTATAAAATATGTATATTGGGAATATTTTGTGAACAACTCAAAACAAAAATTCCAAAATCTCCCAATATTTTTTTGTTGTTGAATTGCCACTGAAATCAAATTTATTAACATATATCATGCACAGAGAATGGGAACAGTCGAATGAGGGCTCGGTTCGTATACTTACCCCGAATGCTAATCAATTCTGTTGCACTTAGTCTGACCGGAGCGTGTACCTGGGAACTGTGTAACCGTATATGAATGTTGCAATATATCTGTCAGGCAATCATTTATTAGGACACCCGCTTCGATAACGCAGCTCCAATGCCGCGTTTCATCGCTGACTTCGATTTTAATTTCGATTTCTGGCTTAATTTTTTCGACTCGGTCGCCTTTCTGATGTGGCTCTGTACCATGGGACGCATTAGCGCCGAGGTTCCAGACGGTAGCAGAAATTTGGATGCCGCCTTGGATACTGCCAAGGCAGGTAGAGCACCGCCCGCCAACCGGTTAATTATACTTTTATGCTTGCGATAATAGTAATTATCAGTTAGCGGTCCTGTTCCACCAGCTTCAGTTAATGGTGTGGACGATTGGCATGAATTTGGGGTCTTTGGCAGCTGTATAGGAGTTATCAGTGTAAAGTTCCTTAAGGAGTCTTGGCTGGGCGTCTTGGACCAACGCTCGCTGTTGAGGAAGAACCGTTATAGGGCTTTACCATGGCTATTCGTGTACTCACTCGGGCATTCCACTGGGCGGTATAACCACATCCAGGACGTTATCGATCAGGCGGGTCTTCAGAGTGCAATCGTTTTTTGTGGTCGAGTGTATGGATGGTGATGTATTGATCTCGATAAGCCACGGTTTCAGGTTGTTATCGATAATAATATCATAACCATACACCTCAAAGCAATGCCGATCGTTGGCCATTACAGGGGCGACAGCGTCTAAAGAATGTCGTATCGTCTCCGAGATGCGGCAAGAGAGTTTCTTCGATACGCCCTCGCCACGTATGCTGTCCAAATAGAGCCACAGATTCTGCATGGACCATTTGCCACCATGTATCGTATTGTACTCCTTCTGCAGAAGTGGGTGATCGTTAGGCAGCGATCGGTTGACAGGATCAGAACTTACATTATTCTTTTGTATGCTGACATTCGTGAGATGCATGAAAACATTATCGATCTCGGTCTGATCGTACCGCTGGGTACAGAAGCGGCAGAAGCCCTCGTTGTACAGATAAGCCTTAATTGGATTGAATGAAGTGACCAGCACGTACAGTCGCAGATCGAACTTCTTGCCGCCAATGAGGAGGGGATTGTCGATGTATTTGGAGATGACGCAGGTGTCGCGATGAAAGTGGGGATAGAATGTGCGCGCTTCATAGGCAAACCTCTTCAGTTTGCTCAGCTTGTTGATCAAGTAGATGCCAACACCTTGTGACTTATCGGAAGGCTTTACAATCCATGTGCTCGCCGGATTCTTATGGAACTGTTCCACAAATAAATTGTAATCGGCGGGCAGTACAAATGTCATCGGTATTATATCTAGATACATATAGCGTGTGCCGCCGACGCCCAATTTCGTGCTATTCGGATGAGTCATGGCCAAGGCGTCGCCCTTGCGCTCCAAGTCCTTACGATAGCGCTTGATGTTCTTAATCAACAGATCCTTGCGTGACAGCTCCATCGAGTTGGGGAAGTGATTGATTATTCTGCAGAAGTTTTCTCTTTTTCAGATCCTATATCTAAATCTATAACTATAACTTGATCTCTATTAAACTATATGTTGTGTGGCTAGTCTTAGTGAATATCAATGTAGCTCTAATCTCTTTGTAAGTCCTTATATATATATATATATATATATATATGTATATCTATGTGTATACTTACTGATCAGATCGCATTCGATAGGGATGATCGACCCCAAAAATGTAGCGACAGTTCTGCGCGCACGCCCAATACAGATTCCATTCGCCATCGAAGGCGGGCACCTTATGCCAGCCTCTTTTCTGAAAGTTGTTGATCAGCGCCGTCTTGTCGCAATCAGTGCTATAGTAGAGACAATGGCGTTCTTTACGCGGCCAGGGCCTCTCCTTGGACACAAGTCCGAAGATCGGCAGTGGCAGCGGCAGCGGCAGGGGCAGTTTCGACTTGCTGCTGCTGCTGCTGCAGCATGGCATCACGTCTCTGCTATAGCTGCTGCTTTTCCTTTTCTTGAATCGACATTTCATGCTTGCGACTGCAACTGCAACAATGTTACGTTCAACTTATAAAATTTTGTGTCCGCAGATCTTCTCCAGAATGGCGCTAGACGATTATCTACTATAAAACTGAAAATTTTTGTATTTTTCTTCTTTATAGAGCACATGCCCTATGGGTAAATTTTATACAATATTTAGTAAACTTTTCCAAATTATTATTTTTTTCTTTTTGTCAGCAAAAGGCCTGCTGTCTCTGTACTTGTCATAGCAAAAGGATAAGTTGAATAAGAATGGTGGATCTTCATAAGGAGAGAAAGAAAGAGAGAGAGAGAGAGAGAGAGAGAGAGATTAAAGAGAGTACAAATAGTAAAGAGAGTAAAGAGATAGAAATAGACAGAGAAAAGGGAAGAGGGAGAGAGTGAAAAGTAGCAGATAGAGAGAGATAGATAGAAGAGAGAAAGACAGCGACAGAGGCAGACAGAGAAAGAGAGAAATAGAGAGAGAGAGAGAGATTGCTAAGAGAAAGATAAAACAGAAAGACGAAAGTGAGAGAGAGATAACAAAAAAGACAAAAAATATAAATATGTGAGAAAGAGAGATAGTGAAGAAAGTGAGAAAAACTAGAGAGAAAGAGAGGTGCGAATTAAAGATCACTGAGAAAATGCTGATTGGAATATATCCATTTAACTCAGTGATTGCAAAGAGAGAAAGCAAATCTTAAGAACGAACATTTGAATTGAAAAGAAAAGTCTGATATTAAAATAGAGTTAAATGTAATCGTAGTTCCAATAAACAAGACGAGATAGAAATTGAACTGTGGCCAATTGGAAAACGCGAAAAAGTGAGATGGAAATTGTAGCTGGCATTCTGATTGGACCGATCTGTGAGCAGCTCCCACTGGAGGAGAGCTTTTCTTGCAGTAAATAACAGCTGATGTTTGTTCCATCGAATACACAGTTCGGTATCTTCCCGATTGGATAACAATGAGCTACTTTATATAGATACGTGGACTGGCAGCAGTGCATATATAGTCGCATTGATACTGGGCAGCTGTGCTAAGGCAAACACAAATGTGATTCGTGTGTGCCCAGCTGATCAAGCTCTTGGCTGATCGCTGGTCATTAGATCGCATTATGCAGGCAGCGATATTTCCTCGATTGAAAGCGAAAGTGTTAATTCCAATTTAGCGCCCATTAGCAATTACAATGGCCAGTCACATTCTACCAAAAGATGAGGCCATTCACAGAAATTTTCTTTTCGTTTAGGTATTTTTCTTTGGTGTCTATTCCGGATATAGTTGGGGCTCTTTTGTGGGTTCTAAGGGTGATCACCGCGCGGCAGTTAACCACAGCTATGTAAATAGACTTTGACATATTTGCAGCGTTGCGGACTGAGGTTTAGCTGGTTAGTTGGTTGCTCATTAAGCAATTCACACGTCTGACCAATGCCCGCCAAAGGGCAACCGGGCAACCGGGGTGCCAGCACAATAGTCATCCATTGTCCGCCCTCGACTCGCTGCCGGCTATAAATGCCCGCTGGCGGTCAACAAAGTTCAACAGTCAGCCAGCACACGGTGTCCAGTCGAGTGCACGGATTGAGTAGCAGCTACCAAACGAGAGAAAGAACAGTTCGCGTATAGACAAGCCCAGGCCCAAACAAGCAACATGAAGATCTATGCTCTCACACTGCCCGCTTTACTGCTGGTTGCTCTGGCGGCACCTGGCGAGGCGACCTTTGGCAAGCTGGGCCTGGTGGTGGGTGGCACTGGTGGCGGCTATGGCGCTGCCTATCCATATGCAGCCGGCGGCTATGGTGGTGGCTACGGTGGTGGCTATGGCGGTGGCTATGGCGGTGGCTATGGCGGCGGTTATGGCTATGGCAACGAGAATATAGTCAAGGTAATTAAGGTGTCTGTGCTGCCCGGCGGTGGCTATGGAGGCGGCTATGGAGGCGGCTATGGCGGCGGCTATGGCGGTGGCTTTGGAGGCGGCTACGCCAGCGGTGGCTTTGTTGGCGCTGCACCGACCATATCCACGTCGGCCGTCGTCACGCCCGTGGTGACGTCGGTGGCAACACCTGTTATAGCCGGCGGCATTGGCGGCATTGGCGGAGGCTATGGAGGCGGCATTGGCGGCATTGGTGGCGGCTATGGAGGCGGTGCAGCGCTGCCCATTTCATATGGCATTGGTGGTGGCTACGGCGCCGGTGGCGGCTTTGGACTGGGCTTCGGAGCGCCTGCAGCCTTGGGCGGTGGCGGTTGGTGCTAGGCGGTGATTACTGTAACAGCTGAAAGCGACTTGTTTATACACATATATAAATATCCCTAAATAAATACTTCTTTTTTTTGTAAACTTTAAATAAACGAAATGTAAATTATGAGTAAAATAAATTCTTTAATTGAAATAATCAATAGAAAGGTCTCTTTAGCCATAGTTGATGGCTGCATTCTCAGCTTGAGTCTGGTCTATGGCCATGTACATTGGGCCTTTGTGCAATTGAGTTTCGTAAGGTGTCGATTACCAAATTCGTTGGCCAACAATTGCCAAGCGAGACACAGATGTGGGTTGACCTTCAAATTGGTCTGGGCAGGCGCTGGAAATGAAATTGAGAGCGGCCCGAGCGCCGCTGTGCACAGCCTCGCAATCCGTGTGGACAGATTCACTTAGCTCACAATAGTCAAATGGTAATGAAGTGCCAAACGAGCATGGCCAAACCCAAACTTCAAGCCAAACAGTGAGTGGCCCAAGAATACGGTGGCACGCCACTTGGCTACAAATTGCCTTCGCTCGAAACGGCCCGAAAGCTCGAAGTCTGGCCAATGTGTAAATTAGCTATGATTTCATATTTGCCAAGTTCAAAAAGAGAAAAAATCACAAGTCGAACAATAAACAAACACTTTTAAATAGTTGAAGCAATTTATATGCAGCGGGGCAGATTTTTGCCAGGCCAAGCTTTCTTTTGTCTACAGAGAACAGCTATGCCCAAGGAATCCATTAAACTAAGCTTTATGTAATAAATGAGATGTATATATATATATATATACCATATCATAAAGATGATGTATTTGGGGAGCATCCGGGTTTGGTAATTGAATGTTTATTAGCCAAGTAGATACGCTTGCTTAGCAGTCGTCAATGAACTATATCTACTCCATGCTCAGTTCTATTTACTTTGGCAGCGAAGTCCAGAGCCCGCTAGATTGCTAGAGTTTGTGTGAGAATCTATGAGTATGTTGCACGCGTCTCATAAAAGCTAGAGGCATCTGATGTAAATGCTGTAAGTTGCTCTGCGAATCAATTTGCATACACGTTTAGGCCAAAAACAAAACGTCTTAGGCGTGGGCTTGGGCCAGTGGCTGGCAGCACTACGCGCTCTTTGCGCGGCGGACGTGGTTCACGTTTTAGACTTGACTTAGCTGAATGCTGGAATCTGTTTGCAGAGTGCTTTGCTCACTCGGTTAGCACATCGAGCCACAACCAGAGCCGGAGACGTAGCCAGAGCGGCGACTGCTACGTGTAGCCACGCACAAGATCTAGCCTGAATGAGCCGCAGCTCCTCAATACATACAATGCCCGATGTACGAGTATCTATGCAGATACATACGTGTGCACTGAGAAAAAAATACATGAAAACACACACACACACACACCTATATACATATTTGCATTGGTAGCAATCGAATGGCAAGGGAAAATCCTAATCGAGTGTGAAATTCAACAAACAGTTTTATAGCGTATATAAAATTAGGTAAATTTTATTAAAAATTATAAAAAAACTTGACGTTTACGTGAGCTCTACAGTTTGTTTTTTATTTAAAAAAAAAATAAGAAAATCAAGTTAAATATAATTGAAAAAATCAGTTAAGTAAACATAAAGGAAATAAGAAAATAGCAATAGAAAGTTTCTAAGTTTCAAAAGCCTTTTAACATATTTAACATTAATTAAATGTTATCAATCTTCATCAAAGAACTAAAGCCAAGGCATACACTACAACAAAACAGAATTTCAATACTTCATTATAAAAATCTAAATAGTTTGCTCTATGAATATGAATAAGAAATATTAGAAAATGTTTAAAATACGTTTTTTAAAAACTTTATGAAAGAAAATAAATTTAAAGCTTCTTCTGAATTCTATAAATATATATATATTAAAATATATATATCTATATATGTATATATATTTTTAAATAACTTTATTATTTACAAAACAGAATTTAAATATTTAATTGTAAAAATCTAAAATGTGTTTCAAATATGTGAAAAAAAAATTAAATATAAAAGAAACTGAATTTACTTATGAAATTATATATTATAAATATATATATGAATTATATATATATATATTTATTTAGTATTAATTTTTTTTTGTTAGAATACGAAGATCATTGCAGTTTCACTTTGATATCCTAGCATATATATAATATATATGTATGTATATATATATAAATATATATATACAAGTAGACAATCTTTTTCTTGCAGTGTTATGACATTTTGGGAATTACCTGCGCTTCTTGCGAATCGTTTTGACGGCTGACAGCAAACGCAAGTGTTATTTGCCCAGAGAGGTGAGAAAATATCTCAGTTTATGGTTAAGTAGTAGACTTGACAGACACGCATAGAGGCGACAAGGCAACAGGGCGACAGGGCGACAGATCGCTGGATAGCTAGCCAAATATACACTCACACACACAGACACACATACATAGCTAGCTAAAAAGCTATCTATACGGATGGACGGATGGCTGGCTGTCTGGATAGTTGAGCAGTCAGTTAGCTGGGGACGCGCCTTAGTTTTTGGCATTTCGGTGTGGCCCATAAGTAACTATTTATGAATTAAGCAAACAGTTTGATGAGCTTCAAAGTGTCGCTGCTGCTGCTGCTGCTGCCGCTGTCGATCGGGTCCAGCTTAAAGCATAAGATTTGTATTATTAGAACCACACGCACACACACAAACAGTGGAGACGCAAGGGACAGCGTCTCAGTCGGCGCTGGCTGCTGCGTTGGCCTATAAATTTGTGCGTATCGGCATTGGGAAGCATCAGTTGAGTTTTGCCTAGACCAGGCAGCGCACGCATATATCCATAACCAATCCAGTTAGTGAGATGAAGCTCTTCGTTTGTATTGTTGTTGCCGTGCTGGCGCTCGGTGCGCCCGCCCAGGCCTTCCTGGGCGCCAAGTTGGCTTTGCTGAAGGCCATTAGCGGCGGCGGCGGCGGCGGTGGCGGTGGTGGCTACGGCGGTGGCGGCTATGGCAGCGGCGGCTACTCCGGCGGATACAACCAGGGCTATTACACGCAGTCCAGCCGTCCAGTCTATAACTATGGCGGCGGTGGCTACAGCAGCGGTGGCGGCTATGGCGGCGGTTATGGCGGTGGATATGGCGGCGGCTATGGCGGCGGCTATGGCGGCGGCGAGCAAGTCATCAAGGTCATCAAAGTGATTGAGCAACCTCAGAGCTATGCTCGTTCGAGTGGCGGCTATGGCGGTGGCGGCTATGGCGGTGGCGGCTATGGTGGTGGCGGCTATGGTGGTGGCGGCTATGGTGCCAACTACGGCAGCAGCAGCAGCAGCAGCAGCAGCAGCTATGCTTCCTCGAGCAGCTACGCAAGCGCCGCTCCAGCCATTCAGACCAGCGCTGTGGCTCAGGCTGTGCCAGCCATTACTTACTCCGCTCCCGCACCGGCGCCAGTGACCTACTCGGTGCCCGCGCCACAGCCCGTTCCGATTAGCTACTCCGTGCCCGCACCGCAGCCCGTGGTGCGCGTGCAAGCAGCGCCAGTGTCATATCCAGTGCCCGCACCACAGCCGGTGGTCAACGTGCAGCCAGCACCAGTGTCCTATCCCGTGGCCTTGCCCGCACCACAGCCCGTGTCGCAACAGTACGTGAAGACCATCAAGGTCATTGTCGACGATGCCAACAGCGGCGTCAACCACGTGCCCAGTCCAGTCTATGGCCCGCCCGCGGGCATTGGCGGAGGCTGGGGCAATGGTGGCGGCAGCTACAGCGGCGGCGGCGGCGGCTGGAGCAATGGCGGCGGCAGCTACAACAGCGGCGGCTGGAAGAGCGGCGGCATCTGGGAGAAACTGGCGGCTGGCTGCTAAGCTCAGCGCTCAGCAACCCTCTCACTCCTTCGTGCCCCTCCTCCAGAGCGAACCCTCCCACACGAGCTTGCTAAACTAACTGCCCACGATCTATATCTACTCAACTGCTTACAATTATTATTTTTTTTTTGATTAGTTTTAAAAACATTATCGAATAAATTTTCTCCCAAATTGTTTGTCTTGCTCTATTCGCGCTGTTCGATTATCGATCTTGAGTCTGCTTCCGAGAATAAAAGTCAGCTCATTGTGTAATATCCTCAATGAGTGCTTCCCAAATAGCCGTAAATTATTTTGACCTTATATGGTTATATAATCGAGAACTTGAATAGTCGCCGTTGTATTTTAATTTGTTGTTTATTTTTATTTTTTCTGTTTTTTTTTTTGGAGTTTTTAGTTTGGGATTTTGGGCCGGGCTCGAGGTGTTCTACATAAGCATAGATACGGCCGCCGACAATTTATCACCTAACTGCTAAATGTGATCCAGCGCTGATGCTAACCAATCGCTGACACTGACACTGACGCTGACGTGGAGTTTAGTGGGACAGCTGCGCGCTGTTCCAAGTGCCATTTCGACACAGATCATGGCAAGTATTTGGCCATAAGCTAAATTTGTAACATTACGAGGTCAACGGCATCCAAGAGAAAAGGCAACTAGTGCAAGATGAACTTACCACATATTTTATTTTGGCTTAATGTACTACCTATTATCTTATATACATGAATTTCTTTTGGATAGCTTATCAAGTGTTAGCTGTGCTAAGTGAAGAGCGTAAGACTATAGGTGATCAGATTTGCAGGCTCGAACATAGCCCGCATGACTGTCGCAGTAGATCCAAGTCAAGTACTTGAACATGTACGGCCGCTCGTCATCAAATTTCATACGTTTCTCAGGAATGGGACACTCGTCAGTCTGTGTTTTGCGCTTCAGAACAGCAGTGCGTTGCGATTGACTGATCTCAGATATATCCGTTACAGGTGCTAGAAAATGGCTCGAATTTCATCATTCATGAATCGCACAGAATTGTCTAGTAGTTACCATCTAAGCTATGAGAATTTTCCATGTCGTGTTAATCAAAAAAAAATATATATATAAAAATTAAATGAATACTGTATGCTATGAGTATAGGTTAGGTTTTGAATATTATCTGCCTCACCTTGGTTCCAGCAGAAGTAATCCACTTGACAATTGGATCGACGCGAACTTGATTATCATTTTAAGCAGAGAGTGCCACATCGAACCACAATTATCTATCGCATGGCATTTCGCACAAAAAGCTAACTAAACCGAACCACTTCAAGTGGGATAACAATTTTGTATATGAGTTACGAAACTCAAGTATCGATTATTTCATATTCTAGGGAACATTTCGAATTCGAATTGAAACGTAAAATATAAAATTTTCGAAAATGTCTTCAAACTTCTTACGCATAGTTTTCCCCAATGCAGCTAGTTGTAAGTTCTTATCGGCACTTGGCACGCTCGTTGATAGCGGATCAGCGCTAGGAGTTGTCAACGCTGGGACCCCAATGGGCGTTCAGCCAAGACGCGACACATCCGCTGACCGTGCATATAAATTACCTATGACTGTGCGGCTCGGCTGACAGTTGGCCTAACACACAGTAGCTATGCGCGACGTATGCTTGATGCATTTGCTACTGCTGCTTGTGCTGGCGGCTACCGCAGCTATGCCACACAACAGACAACAGCAGCAGCACCACCAGCTGGGCAACGATGTTCAGCGCATGGACAATGGTGCGTATACATAATATCGAAATGAACTTGAACACATTGTTATATTCCACTCTGTCTCTGTGCGTTAGAGTACACGCCGATAATACACATCAGCTCTGCTGTGCTGCAGCTGGCGCCAGACGAGCAAACGCATTTGCTGCTTTCAGGCAGTGGCCATGGCCATGGCAACGGCCACAGTGGCTCATCTCAGCCGACTGGCCCCATCGCTCACTGGCCGCACATCTACAGGCTGGAGGACCTGCTGCCCGTGCGAACGCCAGCAGCTGCCGAGCCGCGACTCACAGTCAGCGACAATCTGGACTTTCAAGCCAACAGCCCGCAGTATGTGCAGTCCCACGGACGCTAACGAGAGAAGTCAGGAATCACAGGCGCGCATACATGACAAACTTAGCTGATTTATTGCAAAAAAAAACGTGTCTTTATATATATATATATATATATATCTGTATTGGGAATAAAAAAAAATTAGCTAGTAGAAACGTTGACTATCACAGGCTTAGTGAGAGTCCAGTTGGTGCTCGATCACGTGCTGCTGATGCTCCAGCTCTAGCTGCTGTTCGATGTGCTGCTCCTCGAGCTGATGGTCCAGTTGATGCTGCTCATGCTCCTGTCTATCCTTGAACTCGTAGAGTGTGCTGTAGCTGAAGGCGCCCTTGCCGTGATCAATGCCGGGCACCGGCTCCTCGGCATGGTGTTCATGGTGTTCCAGTTCCAGCTCTGGTTCATAGTGCGCATGTAGTTCGCTGGCCTCGGCATATTCCACGCCCGCATCGCTGCTGCCATAGTCCGCCGGGAAGCTGTGCTCGCTCAGATGATCGCCCAGTTCGCCCAGCTGCTCGTGTTCCGCATGCAGCTTGCTGGCTCCCAGATCCAGCTTGGCCAACGCCTCGCCGCCGCTCAAGACGCCCGCATAGCTGCCCAGCAGTCCAGCGGAGTGTACGCCAGCTGCCACCTCGCCACCAATGTAGCCCGCTTGACTGCTCAGCGCCTGGGCCAGCAGCAGGATCAGTTTCAATCGCCAGGTAAACATGTTGACTCTAGTTGTTAATGGACTTTTGTGTGGTAGGCTACCGACGCGGCGAAATGGTGCAAGTCGACTATTTTCTTTTCGACAAGAGCTCTGCCATTTATACGCTGGCTTTTGGCACACATTTTCCTGCATTTTCCAGCCGCAGCAACAACTCAAACAACAACAACAATAGCAGCAGCAGCAGCAGCAGCACTGAGCAGCGCTTTTGTTTGGCTTGGCTTGGCTGGGCCATCCATGTTGCAATGGACATCTGCCGACGACGACGACGACGACGAACACGAAGACGAAGACGACGTTGGCAACGAGGCGGCCACTTCAGCTGCAGCTGATAATTTTGTGCACTTATTGTGTAGATTACGTATACGCCAGCGTGGCCAGCTCACCCAGGCAAGCCAAGCCGATGCGAGGCATGCCAAGCCAGCTGGCTGACCATTGAATAGCCGCAATTATAAGAGGCGCCGACACCACCACCACCGCAGCAGCTGTTGCAACGTGCGTATACGTAATGTATTTGCGGTTGGCCCCAGTTCTATGCAGGCGCAAAGGCTTACATAATCACAACGGCGTCATTCACTCGATCGCTGTCTTTGCTGATCTTGTCAAGGCGCGCACCATCGATGCGGAAGCAACAACAGCACAAGACACACCACGCATCCAACTCCGGGCACCACCCTGGCACCACCTCGCACTCACACGCCAATTGGCAGCTAATTGAGTTGATCAACAAAACGGAAACGGATGGCTCAGAGCGTAGAATCGTCGCAGCTCGAAAAACCACCAGCGAGGGTGGCTCGAGCAGTACTAAATGAGCCACTCATATCGCCACAGCTGGATTGTGCAACCTGTGCAGCAACAATAATCCAGCTCTGGGGTGGCAATTAAGAGCGTTACCAGAGCGACCAAAATGCAGACACACAGATACAGATGCAGCTGCATGTCGTGCTACAGTTACACTTACACACACACACACACACACACAGACTAATAGGCAAGGCAATGCCAGCAATGCGCACTCACTTGCCAAATGTTTCTTCAAGATTGCAGAAGCCACACAGACAGAAGCAGCAGCAGCAGCAGCAGCAGCAGCATGTGTGTATTTATATATATAAACCATGTCGCTTTGTAGACAAACTTTAATAGAGCTGCCAAACAATTTGCCATTGCACTGAAAATGTGCGAATTTTTTTAGCTAAGATTGCCGTGAGCATAGCCCAAATATTTATTATTTTTATACATTTATTTAGTTATACATTAGCTCAGCTCTTATATGCATCTTAACTATATTTAGTCCGCTCTGTTCACGTTTCCTTGCAGCTTCTATTATTATAATTATCATCAGCAACCAGCTGAGTTCGTCTACTTAACTTTTCAGTTTTATCTTATCTTCCTATCTTCCTAAGCGGCGTCTGTTTGTTTCAGCAAAAGTCTTTTGTTAAATTGATTCATTTTTCTCTCACCTCTTTCCAAATATTTGATTCCGATTTTGTATTTGAAATTGTTCATATATAAATAGATTGCTTGCTTAATCTCTGATTGATTGATATGATTTAATTTTCTGCTATCTGATGATTCCTGATGCAATCTGTATTTTTTTTTTAGAGTTTCACACCTTTAGGTTGATGGCAGTGCTTTATTTGACAACCCTTTTAACAGCTAATAGTTGCTTTTTATTGAGTTTGCCTTGACATTTTTTATAGATAGAGCTACTACTGCAAGGCTCGCAAATTATTAAAATTGTTGATAAAAATTGCATTATTTGTGAAAAGTTATGTTTCGTATTGCGCCTTACGCGTGTTAGTTATGGTAGTTTTATGACCTAAATTATATTTAAACATAATTGTCATAAGATGTTCTTTCTAATAAAGTCTTTTTTGTTGACATTAAAAATCGATTTAAATGTTTTATTATGATTTAAACTTATGTAACTCTAAACGAAATAATCAATATGATTAGTTCGTCAAGTGACATGAAACAATTTTTTTTAGCTGATATGTGTGATGCGATATATACTTGTATACACATATATGCATATATACCTGAAATCTAAAATATTCTACACAATGTCATTTATACTTGAAGTACCTTAAATACGATTATATATGTATATATATATATATATATATATATATATAAATGACTGACTATCAATATGAATTTATGTTATAAACAACAAAATTGTTTAATATATTGTAGCTAATTAACTTGAAATATTTATATATATATATATATATATATATTTATATAGTTGATTAAAATACGCGCTGACCACTCTTTTGAGGCATAGCGAATGCAAGTGCAACAGACTTGGAGTGTGATAATTAGCTTACACTTTTATTCATCAAATCTTTTGACACGTTGCCTGTTACAGCTACAAGCAACTGCGAGCTGGCACGCTAACAGCAGCAGCAACAAATAGTCACAACAACAGCAACAATAATAATGGCAGCAAGTCATGCGGGGCAGTGGGGCGCCCCACAAAGCTTTTGCGCACACAAATTACCAATGTAATAAGTTGTTGTTGCTGTTGCTGCTGTTGTTGCCAGTGATTGCTGCGCGTACACCCACGGCGGAGCAACAACAGTAACAACTTTTGGTTATTAATTCGCATTTTGTCGGCAGCATTTCCTAACGCAAATATTTCAATTTTTTTCTTCACTTTTCTTGCTTTTGTTGTTGTTGCTTTTCGCTTTGTGGCTTGCTTCTTGTTTGGCCAAGTCGGGAGCACCCACAACGAGCTGTTGCAGCAATGGGCAAGCTGCTCAGCTGGGAATGTACTGATCGCCGATCGCTGAGCGTTTTGCAAACGCTCGGACAATTAGATTTTTGTTGGCCTGGTTATTAAACAGTTGGGCACGTGATCTGTGCCCATTGTAACTGGAGCAGCTGATTAAGCGAAATTCTCATGCAGAAGACCAAATACCAATTCATACGCCGTTGTGTGGCTTTGATCAATATTAACACGATTGTCCGGCCATCTGACAGGCCCTATATAAGGCTGGGACCCGGCTCCAACTAGCAACAGAATGAAGCCCTTAACCTTGTTAATATCAGTACTCGCCGTACTGGGCGTGGCTAACGGCCAGAATTCGACCAGAGACGGCAGAAGGAATGCAGCCTTGCTGCGCTTACAGCGCGACCAGCTGCAGGACCAGTTGCGCGGCTTAGTCATCGGACTGCCGCTTGACATCAGCTTCTCGGCATTGACGTACATTTGCAGCACCATCATGGATCTGGGTCTGGTGCAGTCCAAAATCGTGCCAGACATGTCGCTCATGAACTTCCAGCTGCGTCCCGATGCCTGCACCAATATCAGCATTCCACTGACCCGGGCCAGCGAGCTGTGGGATACACCAGGCTTCGATCAAGACAAGCCGACGGTTATCTTCATTACCGGCTGGCACTCCACCATCAATAGCTCGAACAGCGGCCCAGTGGCCAAGGCATTTGCCTGTCGCAACGACACAAACTTTGTGGTGAGTCTGAAGTCTGCCAGTGGCTGAAGGAACTAGTTACTAGAGCTAGCTCAGCAGCAGAGATCGTTCCAGTTTCTAGACACATCTCATTGACTCAAAGATATCCCGTTAAACAGGTGTTAGATGCAGCCAGGTATATAAAGACGATTTATACTTGGTCTGCCCTGAACACGGAGGCCATCGGGCTCTATGTGGCCCAGGCGCTGCTGCAGCTGGATCGCGAGTATGTGACAAAGCACGTGCACATCGTTGGGCACAGTCTGGGCGCCCAGATAGCGGGTGCAACTGGTCGCAACTATAAGCTGTTGACGGGCGGCGCAATTTTATCTCGTGTCACCGGCTTGGATCCGGCCAATCCGTGCTTCTACGATGGCAACGAGCTGCCGGGCGTGCGCAGAGGCGATGCCGTCTATGTGGACACCATAACCTCCAATCCGGGTGTATCCGGCACTTCCGATAGCCCGGCCGATGGCAACTTCTTTGTGCAAGGCTTGGTCCCGATCAAGTCCGGCTGCAGGGGCATCGACGCCGTGAGCTGTTCGCATCAGCGCTCCGTTGACTACTACGTGGAGTCCGTGTATCCCACAAATACGGAAAACTTTGTGGGCAGACGCTGCGACCAATATGTCGATCTCTGGACTGGCGACAACTGCAAGAGCAGCGACACAGCCTACATGGGCTATGCTGCCTCCGAACTGGGCATGTTCTACGTGGATGCCAACGCAGCTGAGCCCTATGGCACCAACGCTAATCCGGACAGCTTCACATCAACCAACAGCGCCTGCGGCCTGTGCAGTGCCGAAAACTAAACGGCCTAGCAGACGGGGCAATTTACGATGCTTCCGTCAAAGTCTATATGTAACCAGTTATAAACCATAATCAAATCAGTGAATATTAAAGAAACGGAACATTATTTGTGCATTGAATTTATTCGAATTGAAATTAGTGAAAATAATACTCCTTGGCTCACTTAGGACTATCTGCTACCTGTCCATTAGCAGCTCTGTCCCTGTGAGTATTGTGCTTAGGGTATACTAGCTAGGTAAGACATAGGGCACAGTTTTTGCTCGAAAGAGATTTCGTGGGAATACTTCAAAGATGTTTCTAAGAAGTTATGCTTATGCTCATAAGCAAGAGGTAGCAGGTACTCATAGCAGCTGCTGCAGGTAGAACATGCTCAATTTGACGAAGTCAACCTTGTTCTATCGAGAACATAAACAATTTGTGTTGATTCTAAAGTTATGCCATCAATTCAAAATGAAATACGAGTTTATTTATTTAGCATTTGATTCAAATGACTTTTCAGTCACAAATCAAATTAGATCATTTCCTGGGCGAGAAGAAAATAACTAAAGCAGAGTAAGATCAGCTCAGTATCTGGCGATTGCATATCTTAAATAAATAAATTACAATATCATGCAATATTGTTTGTCATTCAAATGCTTGGCAAGCCGCACAGGCGAATTAATACCCTGTACGAAATATACTTGAGCACAGAGTAAGATATGAAATCTGCACTGAGGTGGAAGTTTATAAAGTTGTCTTGTATTAACTACAGCTCATCTTTGTCCATAAGCTTGAGCAGTTAAGCATTCGTGATTTGCCTCTAGAATTTGGTGATTGCGCTGATGTCAACTAGTTCTTTGTGACGCTTGTGCTCGGGACCCTCCAAATGGGGCGGGCACCGTGCGCCTGCAGCATAGCAATGAGTGCGGAATACCCCCATTAATATGATATTTTCGTAGTCGACAGGCAATTCCAGTACGCCGCATCAGGTCGGTCTGGCGTATACACTAAGAACTGTGGAGTAATCATGATATTGTCGCGAAGGCTGACCACTTACATAAGTTGTGACATTTTCGCAAATCTTGTTTATTCGTAATCAGGTTATTATTTTAGATTTGTGCTTGAGTGGAATCGAGGTGATCTCGAGCACTCAGAGTGCTTCAAGTAGAACAGCAAAGCCGATGTTACTGGCAAATATCAGAGCAAACTATGAAGGGTATATTGTTATATGTCTGAAAACAGTTTATTTCTGAATCATTTGCTAACAGATGGAGTGGGAGAGATAGAGAGCAAGAGAGAGGGACAATCGGATTAACGAATAAGATTCCAACTGAAAGGGTGAGTGCATTCCGTCCATTAGACTAAGTGTTGTGTGTGTGTGTGTATGAGTGTGTGATTGATATTGTAGAATCTAATTAAGAGACAAATGCACCTTATCTGATTGCCGTGTTGCGCATGAAATACACCTATATGGTCACAGCTAGGCTGGCTGTTCTCACTCACTCTCTCCATTATTGTAGTACTGCTCGCACTCACTCTCTCCTCATTGTTCGTGTGCGCCGTAAAGGTGCTGACCGGCCTATAAATACTTGTTCCGTATCATTTTCGGTATTCATTGCGCTCGGAACTGTCGTTCAGTATGGGAAGTTCGAACCTTATTCTCGGCACCTGCCTGCTTCATCTGCTGCTGTTCGCAGCATTGGGTCAGGGCATCGATTGGACCGTGTCCGATGTTGTGGGCTCTCTGCAAAATGTCGGCTCCAGCATTATCGATGCAAAGACGCTGCCCACACCGCAGGGCTTGCTCGAAGGCAGCAAAAATCTAATCGCCGGCTATCCCTTCGAATATGCCTCGACCACCATCAACTTCCTATGTGAGCATCGCCGCAGTAGAGCTCTCCACTACAATGAATAATTTCACGTGCTTTCACAGGTTCTCAGGCGCTTAGCTCAAAAAAAATCAAGTCGAAGTACACACCGGACATACGTCAAATGAACTTTCAGCTGCGCACCGCCTGCAACAGGACAAGCTTTCCACTCCTCGATGCAGATGCCATGTGGCGCAGCCCCGAATTCGATCCCAAGAAAGGCGTAGTCATCCTCGCCACCGGCTGGACGACTAGCGTCAATGAAACGGACACCATCGATAAGTTTGCCCAGGCCTACAATTGTCGCGGCGATGTCAACTTTGTGGTGAGTCCCAACTGTCGCATACTCTGTTTCTAGTTAGCCTCTGCTAGCCGACTACTAGACAGGGATCTCCTTGAATATGAGAGGCTGACTTGAACTTGAAACAATCTATTTTATAATCCATAAGAGGTAAATCAGTCTATTAAAATGTCATTTGATTTCCATTTAATTACTTTTGCCACGAGTGTTAAGCACATTAGTTCTTATCAATAATATAGCAAGGTCGAGCTCTCAATGCCAAGCAAAAATTTGACGCGCTTGAGAATCTTAATAAGCTTGAGAAGTGAGCAAAAGTATTGTAGCTCGAGCTGACCGATCAGGCGATACCCTGCACATAAATTAGTCCAATGATTGAGTAAAGTCCGAATGATTCTAAATATACTGTGACTTAGAACCTTTCGAGTTTCTCTCTATTCACCCACTTGTCTCTCTATATATCTATCTCCTTACCTGTCTGCCCATCTATCTTTCCTAATGCCAATTTATAAATATACAATTCCTTTTGCAGGCTGTGGATGTTGCCAAGTTCATTGATACCCTATACACTTGGTCCGCTTTCAATACAGATGAGATTGGGGAGAACATTGCACGAGGCCTGGTCAAGCTGCTGGATGTGGTCAAGGTGGAAAACATTCATCTGATTGGTCATAGCCTGGGTGCGCATATTGTGGGCTCGGCAGGACGCTATCTGCAGCAAATGACTGGCAAAACGTTGTCGCGCATCACCGGACTGGATCCGGCTAAGCCGTGCTTCAACGAGGGCGAAGTTCTGTCGGGCTTGCAGCGCGGCGACGCGAAGTTCATTGATATAATACACAGCAATCCAGGCGTGCTGGGCAAACGGGATCCCATGGGCGATGTGGACTTCTATCCAGGTGGCCTGGATCCCCTGCCCGCAGGCTGCCTTTCGGTGGTCTGTGCACACGCTCGTGCCTGGGAGTATTACGAGGAGTCTATCTATCCGGGCAACGAGCGCAACTTCTTGGGCACACGCTGCAGCTCGTTGCGTAGGCTGCGCGATGACCTCTGCTCGGGCGAACAATATCCCATGGGCTATGCTGTGCCGCACAACATCAAGGGCAACTACTTCCTGGAGGTCAACGCCATTAAGCCCTTTGGCAAAAATTCATCCGGGCCGCGTTCAGCACGACTCGCAAAGTGCGGAGTTTGTGGCAACTAATGGAGACCCTGCGTGATAAGATCTAAGCCGATATCGATACCTGAAACGCCTTTCCCTCTGACCCAAGTTGAATCGGAGACGTTCAGAGCCGTATTCGAAAGGAAACTCTTAAACTAATATAGGCTTAAGAAATATTATGAAACCCGATAGCAATTCCGTGACTGCGATAAGCCGATAATATCGCAGTTTCGAAAAGTTATCCGCTATAAAGTTTTTTTTTTTTTTTTTTGCTTAATGCAACTATTCATATTTAATTCTTTGTACATTTAAGTTGTTGTTTTTTCTCAGTTATTTGCTTGGCCTGATCTATGGGCCCCCAAATACAATTTGCATGTTAAGCGTTGACAATTCAATTAATTTTTGTTTATAATGCCTATGCTAAAAAAATAATACTTCATAAGTAGAAAAACAATTCGCTGACATCTATGGAATAGCGGCCGCCACATACCGATTGCAACGAGCTCCTAGACGCCAAAGTACAGTGAACTCCAAAAGTGGCGATCGGCTAAGCTTGCTGCATCGCATCGAATGGACGAGGTCAACTAGAATGAGTTAAGAGAATGTTGAAATGCAATGTTTGATAGTCAAGGAATACATCCTGTTCATTATCATCATGAAATATGATCACAAACAGGTAGTTTACACTGAAATAAAAAAATTCAAAAGGATTTGTTACAATTTGAAAAGTTTGTTATTTAAACAATACAAATAAAAAACTAAATAAAATTAATTAATAGAAATAAAAATATATTCCAATGAGAAAATTAAAGTAAAGTCGACAAAAAATAACAACATAAAATAAAACATATCAATAAATTTTAAATAATTTTAAAAACTAATAGACTTTTAATATATAATATTAAATTTTATTATTATATTAATGTTATATAGAAGGTTGATTCTATGTAGTTCAAGCCACCTCAAAGATGATAACAATTAAATGATTAACACAGAAAAAAAAACAGAATTTGATTGATGAACACTGTCAAAATTTGAACAAAAATATTTACAACAAATTTAAAAATATAAAAAAAAAAATTATTATATGTAAGTATAACAAATGATGATAATAATAGAAGATAATACTATTAAAAATAAATAAAGTTAATTTCAGGAAAATAATAGCAAAATATTAAAGATAAAATAATAATAAAATAAAATAAAAAAATTAATATATCAATATAATAAAAATGATCAAATATAAATATATAAATTAAATGAGCTAAAAAATAGATTTAAATATTTAAATATACAAGTTAAATGGGGTAAAAAATATATAAATTAAATTAGGTAAAAACATATTTAAATATACAAATTAATTAGATAAAAATATTTCTGTAAAATTAGAAAATGAAAATTAAATTATTGAATACAAACTAAACAATAATATTAAGCATAACTTCAGCTCTTGCTAGTTGCTTGAATATAGATTTTTATAAGAGCTATATATACATTTAGAGATGTATATGTATGTATATATGAATTAGTATGTATATAGAATATGTATGTATATAGAATTAGTCAAAGATGAACAGGTCTCATCTTTCGTTCCCTTCACAAAAGTTCTCTAGTTCGCTGCAATCTGGTGGTTACTGTGCTGCGAGCAGCGGCGGTGCTGTGGCTTGCAGTTGGCGGGCCCCTTCACCTGGTTGAGCTGGTAACATGACAAATGAGTCACCAGCCGCGAGCTTCTGTGGGCATATTGGAGATTAGGCTTAACCATGCCAAGCAGCCGTCAACTGTGCTTGCTGTTTCCGCCAGCCAGCAAGAAGCAAGAAGTCAACAGCGTGGCGAGGAAATGATCCATCAAGCGTGTGAGTTATGCGCAATTCGGCAACATGAACTAGACTCCATGGGGCTGACGGGGCATACGGGGCTGGCGATGAGCTGCTGCAGATGCTGCTGCTGTTAGCTGCTGCTGTTAGCTGCTGCTGTTGCTGTTGCTGTTGCCAATGAGGCGGTCGTAAAGTGCTGTAAAGTAGTTGACCCTGGTCAAGAATCGGACGCTCAAAGTGGTTTAATAAACTGCAATTACCTCGTTCGTCTCTCGCTGTGTGCGCAGCTGGTTTGTTTGTCAGCTGACCAAGACCGGGCCACGGCAACCCCCACCTGCAATGCGGTGCGATTTATTTTGTGGATTCTTGAGTTGATGAGCCGCTCAGCCGGTCGGCCGCGCCCCTATATTTGGCCGCCTCTGCGGCTATGCAAATCTAGATAAATAGCGCATGCTGCGTGTGTTTCGAGATCATTCAAGTGCCGCACTTCAAAGCTCACACCCACATCACAGCAGCCTGGATAAACCTACCTAGAGATGAAACTGTTCATAGTACTCAGCGCTCTGATTGCCTGCAGCTCGGCTGGACTCATTCGCAGCAGCGGCTGGTCCGGTGGCAGCAGCGGCTGGAGCTCGAATCCTTGGGCCAGCAGCGGCATCAGCACCGGCGGCTGGAGCTCGAATCCTTGGGGCAGCGGTGGCGGCAGCGGCTGGAGCTCGAATCCTTGGGGCAGCGGCGGCGGCTGGAATAGCGGCTGGTCTTCCCAGCCCAAGATCATTAAAGTTATTAAAATTGGCGGCGGCGGCAGTGGCTGGAACAATGGTGGCGGCAGCGGCTGGAGCAATGGCGGCGGCTGGAGCAATGGCGGTGGCTGGAGCAATGGCGGTGGCTGGTCGGGCCAGAGCATCGGCAGCAGCGGCTGGTCCAGTGGCAACAACGGCTGGGGCAGCAGCGGCTGGTAGTGAGGATCGCAGGCAAAGGCTCTGGCAACCGCGCGCTGATTCGTATTGATTATCGATTTTTGATTTCATATTATGTATATGCATAAGGGTATATTTTTTTTCTAATTTTTTTATACAAAGAAACCTATATTGTTTTTGTAAGCAAATACAAATTGTAAATTGTAAAATAAGCAACAAATCGCATGATTTTTATTCGATCGTTGGCAGGTGATTAACGATCGTTTCGGTTTGCCATATTTCATTTCACAGTCGAGAGCAATTAAAAAACGTATTCAGCACATAGATGCAACATCTTCAAGTACGGAACCTCCCACTGCAGCGACGTCTGTAGCTGCGTCTTTGTCTGCCTGGGAACCAGATCGAGAACTGGAACTGTTCGGCCGGCCGAGCAGTGAGACTGTTTTGCGTTCTCGTTGATCTCGAAATTCACATAAATACCATTTTGAATTATGGTCCATAACAATTAAAATGCTAACCTGACGCCGTAATTACTGCTATTACTTTGTGCATTCGCAATGCTCGGTGAACATTCATTGCTCATCACTCTTAGAGCTGCACACTGGCACCAAATGCAGCTTTAATTCTGCTTGAATTTAATAATGAATATGTATATTAAGGGCTTCTCTAAAAATAATTGAGCATACAGGTCTAGAGATTATGGCAATAAGCAGAATATACACATCAAACCAGAATTGATTACTTGAGCCGCTTTAGCAGCAGCCTTAAATTTATCTGTCGATCATATAAACTGCACTGACAAAGCCTTTTATTTATAATTCTTATCTAACTTTCTTCTTACAAATAAACAGTCCCTAACTTATCGCTTTGCCTTGCTCTTCCACAGCTTGTAAGTGGAGCATGGGCGGAATGGCCTCTCTTATGTCCCAATCCATTGATCGTTTTGTATGTTGTTCATGTTTCCACATTTACTTTAAACACGTTCGCGTTAAGGCTTGATTCTTCTCTTGTGTGGACTATTTGCTTTATATTCTATGTAGATCTGGGCTTTGTCTCTAGCCTGGACTTGTCATAAATCATCTTGCTATGAACTATAGATTGTTTAGAGCTTAGTCTTCAGCACAAAGTAAGCAATATTTAAAGGGCATTTCGCAAGCTGGTTCTGTTCAAGACGAGCTGTTATTATTGATATAATCTTAATTTTCATTTAGAATTTTGGATATATAGTTGTGACTGCGTCTAGTCGACAAGTAACAATTAAAGTAGAGCGTGTTTTGCTTAAACTAAACCATATATATACATACTAATGTCTGAACTAGTCTATAATATCTTTTTATATGCATAACAAACAAAATAATGACTTAGTTGGAGCTTTGTGCCCACTGTGCTGCATATGCTCATGCGGTTGAGGTCGTCTTGTGGACTTGGCTGCGGGGTTACTTGTGGCTTCGAGGTATGCTACGGTGCAGCACGCGTTGAATGCCACCACAGTCAGTGGACAAGTTGCTGCAATAAATGGTAAGTAATTCACTTGAGCAGGCAGCTCATTTGTTTGGGCTTTGACTGCGAGTTGGGCCTCAGCGTTTTCCCCGTCTCTTCGGGTGTGCGTGTGTGCGAGTGTTTGCACAACAATTGACATTGAACTCGTCGGTTGCGAATGTGGTTGAGTCGTGCACCACACACATTTGTCTGGCACTCGCATTGCATGCGAATACCGACAAAAAAAAAAAACAAAAAACAAAAACAGCAAAAATCAAATTAATTATGCAGAAAAATCTGGAAAATATGAAAAATTACAGAATTTAAATTGTAAATTGTAAAACAAATTGTGAGGCGCTGGCAAAAAGTGCTGCTGCACACTGTTTGTAATTAATGACATCGCTATGGCTCAGCAGTTTACAAGTGCTGCCAACGTGGTTGGCTGCGTCTCTGTGCGGCATATGCGCAGCGTTCCCAACATAAACGTTGCGTATGCGCCGCGTGTGCCGCGCTCTTGACAGAGACTGCACTGCGCGGGCTTCGACAGACACTTGAGCAAACAGTTCTCAGCCTTCCGAGTAGCCTTTGGGTGCGTCGCCCCCCACACACAACACAGATCGCATCTCACATTGCCTTAGTTTTGTGCCCAATCAGTGTTTGGGAGCACCATGACTCAGCTGGAGTTCGATTTGTTCCGTGCAGCTTTGACTGCTATAAAAGCGCAGCGCTGGGCCTGCTAATGGCATCAGTGAAGCTAAGGTTCTAACAGCGCCAACAGCAAACAGCAACAGTTAACAGTTAACAGTTCTAAAACAGTTCATCTAGCAAAGGATTCTGCAGCTCAACATGCGCTACGCTCTGCTCGTCGTATTCCTGTGCGGTCTCATGTTTGCCATTGCCTCGGCTGGCTTGCTGGGCGGCGGTGGTGGTGGTGGCGGCTATGGTGGTGGTGGCGGCGGCGGCAAAGGCGGTTGGCAAAAGAATGGCGGAGGCGGCGGCGGTGGCGGTGGACAAGGAGGCTGGCAAAAGAACGGAGGAGGCGGCGGTGGATATGGCGGCGGTGGTGGCGGCAAGTCTCTCGCCGGCAATCGGGGCAGCTCGGTGTCCTGGCAAGGTGGTAACGGCGGCGGCGGCGGCGGCAAGCACGGTGGAGGCGGCGGCGGTGGTGGCGGCGGCTATGGAGGCGGTGGCAAGCACGGCGGTGGCGGTGGTGGTGGTGGCAAGCACGGCGGTGGCGGCTGGTAAAGCGAACTCCCAAACCACACAATGAGAACTCCAAGACGCAACGAAATGTAAATACTCTGGCTGCTCCCTCGACTGCTTCTACGGCACAAACATAGAGCTAGCGGCATTACCCCAAGTGCTATAACTAAATTAATTTTTTTTTGCTTACTTACTTAGTAATACCCAAAGTTTGTCAAGTCTTTTCCTCCCTCTCTTTATGTTTAATTGTACTAATAAAGAAATGTTCATTTTGCTAAAAAGCGGCTCAAGTCTTTACTTTAGGGCAGCTGTTGCAGCTGGCGAACAGCTCTTCTAGCAATATGTTAAAGGAACATTCACTCTGCACATATAAACCGTAGGATTGTAGATATCAAATGCTTAAATTGTTATATTTGTATGTGTTCTAAAGGCAAGAATGCCTCTGTTTTGGTGCAGTCCATAAAAAGCACTGGGTGAATCATCTTATCATGCTCATATGACTTGTGGAGGCGCTGATTACTTCAGAAGCGCCTGAGCAATTTGAATCAGCTCAATGATTATCCTTTGTAGTAAAGGCAGCTCATCTTATATCTGACGTCATCTTTGGCTGTAGTTTACTTAAGTATGACTCAAAGGCGTTCTTAGAGGACTAAGTATACTAGAGGTCTTTATTTCCCAGTGAGAAATTCGTTAGACAAACCTTCAAGTAAAATTCTTCAAAATTATCAGCTAAGATGCATGAGTTAAGCTTGTTGATTTAGCTTAAAGTCCATTTACAACTTCCATTTGCCCAACTTCTCCTTCTATAACTCTTCAGCAAATAGCCTAAATTCAAGCAAATGCTCTCATCGATTAGATTATTGTATATATTTATTGGCAGAGTAAAAAAAATAAAAAAAATTGCTAGATATAGCATAAGAGATGTTTTTATGTACAGTTGCAGATCCTTTTTAATGCCGTCTTAGTGTTTTGTTATCGACAGGTTTCTACCAGCTCCAGCCGCCGCTTGAGCCGCCGGAGGACCAGCCACTGCTACCGCCGCCGCCGCCGCTTTTCCAGCCACCACCGCCGCCACCGCTCTTCCAGCCACCGCCGCCGCCACCACCTGATTTCCAGCCGCCGCCGCCGCCACCACCTGATTTCCAGCCACTGCTAAGACTTGAGAGAGCTTGGGACTTCCAGCCTGAGAGGCTAGACAAGGCGCTAGACCAACCAGCGCCCAAACCGCCGCCGCTTCCGCCGCCAGAGCTCAATTTCCAGCCACCGCCGCCGCCTCCGCCGCCGCTCTTCCAGCCACCGCCGCCTCCGCCGCCACCGCTTTTCCAGCCACTGCCGCCTGAGGACCAACCACTGCTGCCGCCACCGCTGGAAGGCCAGGCACTGATGCTTATCTTGCTGGGCCAGCCAGAGGAGCCGCCACCCGATGACCAGCCGCCACCACCGCCGCCGCCGCCGCTCTTCCAGCCGCCGCCGCCACCACTTGGCCAGCCACCGCCGCCGCCACCACCGCTAGACCAGCCGCCACCGCCACCGCCACCGCCACCACTGCTCCAGCCATGTGGCTTAGCAAAGGCGCAGACGCTCAGCACGGCCAAGAGACCGACAAGAATCAAGCGACGTATCGACTGCATCTTTGCGGGAGTTGTTGCTACTGTTGCTGTTGCTGTTGCTTGTTGATGTTGCTGTTGCTGTTGCTGTTGCTGATGCTGTTGATGTTGCTGCTGTGCACTAACTAATTTACAACTGGGCGCACTCACGGCTATTTATACAGCCAGTCGAGTGCAGCGCATCTAAGATTCTAACCGCCAGCAGTGCAGATGCTGTTGCCGTCGTCAACATCGCAGCTGCTGTCGGCAGCGCCGTTGCCGGCGAAGTCGCGTCGCTGGGGCTGCAGTGTAATCAGCTGTAATTGCCAAATCTGGCGCTCGTTGCGATCTCGGCTTCGTGCAGTTGGGCCTCATTATGCCAACTTTCAATTTCGTACGCTTTGCTGCCATCTATTGTTGGCAACGCCCCGCCGCCGTCCAGGTCCACCTGACTCAGCCGCCGGCCTAGACTCAAGATTCTGGCAGCGCCAGCATCGGCCATTCTGACAAATAGCCAGCAGCCAGCATCGATTTATTGGCGCGCCATTTTTATGTAACAACTTTTTGGGGCCAAATCAATTGACTGGCGGCCCATTCTTTGCGGCTGCCATTTACCAGCTGAGCTACCGAGCTCTCGAGCTCTCGAGCTCTCATAATCAATGAGCTAGCCGCTGGCTGCACACGTGTCGCAGCTGGCACTGCCGCTGCTGCTACTGTTGCCACTTTGTTGCCTCACCACTTGCAATGGCTTCGTGTTGCGCATTAAAATCGGGTCAACGGCACAGCGATCAATCACTCAGACTATCAAAATAAAGTGCTATGAATTATACAATGCATTTGCTATCCGCACAGATGGAGTATGAAAATTTAAATATTCTCTTAGCCAGCTTTCAGATTTCCATTAGCAATTTAGTTACTGCAGACTGCTGACTGTTGCATCTTCATCAGGAGATGCTGGTCTATATAAAAAGATGTCCATCATTTCTCTATGGTTTCACTTAACAGCTGAGCTAGAGGATTGTTAGCTTGAAGCAGGGTATAGCTGCTGCGAGCAGTTAGTAGACAGCTTTACGAACTGGTGGCAAAGATCGGCGACTGCTGCTGCCCCCACTTGATCAGTCGAAAACAAATTTGAATTCAAATTCAAAGCAAACGCCGAGACTCGTGTAGTTGAACCTGCTGACTCTTTCTGTTGTTGCTTTGCGGTAGGAGCTTTGAGAATTTTCATGGGCGGCACTAAACCAAAATCGGGGCTTTGTGCTATCGGTTCGTTCGTTGCCAATTGGCAGATCTATCAATGGCTGGCAATCAATCAACGGCCGTCTCGCTGCGAATTCCGTAACAAAGCGTTTAACTGTCGAGAGCTGTGCGATTGCAGCAACAGAGCCCAGGCCAAATTGTTAGCCAGGCCAAAATTGAATTGTCTTCGGCTGGGCCAATTTACGGCGCACAATAAATGTCACATTAGACCTCAATTGCAATCGATGCCAATCAAGTGTAGACAATTTAGCCAAGGCAGCCGACCGCCTCTGCCATGAGCTCACCTCATTGGACAATGGGTCAAGCAGGAAGCACATTGCCAACCAGTTTTAACTTGCGATGCCTCATTTAAAAGCCGTCAGCATAAATTGCTCAAATTTCTGTGTTTCATTTTCAGCTTAAGACTAACAAAAAAACTTGTGTTTGTTTATACATATAAAAACATTTAATAAAAAAAAATTGGACTTAGGCATAATTGAAAAGCATTGAAAATGCTCGCTTTTTGGCTCCCTGTTTGAACTTGTGTGTGAGGCCGTTGGTGGGCCGCGGGCATTTACCAGCCCTTGTTCCAGCCGGAGCCACCGGAGGAGTAGCCGCCCGAGTAGCCACCTTGACCACCGCCATAGCCGCCGGAGGAGTAGCCGCCCGAGTAGCCACCTTGACCACCGCCATAGCCGCCGGCTCCTTGGTTGGCTACCTGAAGGATGATAACCTTGGCAGGGGCTGAGTAGCCGCCGGATTGGCCACCAGAGTAGCCGCCGGAGTACCCGCCGGAGTAGCCGCCAGAATAGCCACCGGAGCGGCCACCAGAGTAGCCGCCAGAGTAGCCACCGCCGCCACCGCCGCCGCCGCCTAGTTTGCCGCCGAGTCCTCCGCCGAGTCCTCCGCCAAGTCCTCCGCCAAGTCCTCCACCCAGACCGCCGCCAAGACCGCCCAGTTTGCTTTGCAGCAGCTGGACAATGCCGCCGGCACCACCAGCACCGCCGATACCACCGAGTCCACCGCCACCACCACCGCCGCCGCCGCCGCCGCCAAGGAGACTGTCCAACGTCGCCTGACTGCCGGCCAGCAGGGCAACGAGGATAACGAAAATACAGGTAAACGGCTTCATAATGCTATAAACTCGGATCTCGATCTCGATCTTAGATTGAATTTCGATGTGATGCTCAAGACGAACAGAAGCGTTGACTAATTCTACAGCTCTGATGCCTGCACGCATTTATACCAAAAAACGTGCTCGAAATCAATAGTCGAAAATACGAGTATCGCATAGCATGAATAAATCAATAGCACGCTTGTCAATGCCCAGCATCAGCAACAGACTCAGCTTCACAGGGAGCTACGCGTTGAAGTTGGAGCAGGTGTTGATGCGTAGAGATGGGCGCGTGACAGCAGCAAAGCCACGAGCACGACCAGCCAACTATCCACTTAGCCATATAGATGAACTGCTTCACTGTTTGGACTAGGATTACTCTTGGGGTTCCAGTTATTGCTGAACACGCAGCAAGGCTTCAGCTGAGTTCTGGGTAATTGGCTTAAGGTTCGATTGACACGAATCACGAACGTTCGTGCCACGAGCTCGACTTCAACAATTAGTTGCCTTTGATCGTTTAAGCAATTAAAAGAATTAATAACCCACATTTCTACGTGTGTGTGTGCTATGATGCTGTAGATATATGATTTTGGCCAGCTGCCGACGGGCCATTGTTTGCTGATTGTCTCCAATAACTATGCAAATCTTTACGCATCCGCGACGTAGACTTGGCCATTGTTAATACCCTTGAGTCGTAGAATGCGCGTAGGGTATGCTACATTCCGCGACTGGCTGAAGTCGAGTCAAATAGTAACTGCGCTCCATTTGACTATGGGAAGTTTTAGGGAGGAATGGGAAATATTTTGAAAGAGCAAAGTGTTTTATAAAATATATATCAAATATACGAGGCGCCAGATGACAGTCCTGCTACAGGGTATATTATAGTCGTCAATCTTCTTCAATTGTTTGCTGTCTTCTCAAACATAAGTAAGCCTCGTTGGGCCACAAATCAAACAAATTAACGCCGTTTGATCACATGCAGACTGAAACACCAAACGCAGAGCAGCCACAATGGATGGGCAGTTTGTCAAGCCGGCCACAGCGCTGAGAGCTTGCACAATTGATAAATGATATTTTGACGGGTCGTTCAGGCAGTAGTCGCTCGTCGCCGGCTCGTCAGTTGTTCTGCTCATTTGCAGATCAAGGCCTGCCAGCGGGCACGAGCTGGCAAAACGGCGAACTGTAACGCTAGATCAGGTATTCAGGAAGCTGGCAGTTAGTGGCCTGAACGCTACAGTTAGTACCATCCGAGGCTTGGCCCACTGTCTAAATGTTCCCATCAACATCATCGCTTAAAAATAGGCTCAATTCAGAACCGGTTCTTGCACAAGTTCTGAGACGCTGCCTATGTTTCGACACATATTTGCATAGTCAATTGACTTGCCAATATAAATGTACATATATGTATATATATAGAGACATAGGCATACTTATATATATGCGCCTATGTGTATGTACTTTGTCGGGCTCTAAAACTTGCCAAGTTCAATGCACCTTAAAGCTTACAGAATATTTATGCTCAGCTTCGACTCTTCATACATAATTGTGGGGGGTGTTTATTACAACAACAACAGCAACAACAACTCGTCACATTTTATTGCTCTGTAAATATGTATAACTCTATAGATACGTGCTGCGTGTCTGCTGTAACAATTGATTCATTAACCATATCGATTGAGGAAATCTTCAGCTCACATTTGACATATGCCAATTAGGTGCTTCTTAAGGTCAGCAATAGAATAATTCTTTATTTCCTATAATCGATGTTTTCATTCTTCCAAATATTACAATAACAAAACGCTTTAAACAATATTTGTTAGTCAAGCATTTAGCTGTGACTTTGGCTTGGCGATTTTATTCACACTGAAGTTGCGAAAAAACAAACTAAAATAAAAAAAATAATTAAGCTATTTATGTATAGAAATATTAATGGCACCTCTAACGGAAATTCTATTAACAGCTACTTGATTTATTTTAAAGTAAATAAAACTCCAATTTGATGAGCACTAAAATTGTTTGAGTTATAAAATTAATTAAAGTTATAAAAGTGAATTGCAAATGATTTATTAAATCAAATTAAACTTGAACAAAAAAAAAATAATTAAGTTTTTTATTTTCCATTTCCATTGCATGAAGTCTTGGGTAGAATTGAAATCCCCAACAATTCTCGGTAGCTTTACGATCCGTTTATAAGGTCAACATTATATATTCTCACATATATATACATACATATAATTTTTTCTATATATATATATATAGATATGCTTAGCTGTTTCACCTTGTATTATTCAATATTCTTAACCTGTTTTTTTTTTTGGCCTCACGGGCCAAAAATTAAAAAAATCATGTGTCTTTGTTTTTCAGCACGTTCATTAGAGGGATATACAGATGGAGATAGATTCGTTTGGCTGGCGAGTAACACGTACCGCTACAATGGCACAGCGTTCATTACAGCCGCGACAGATATCGTAAAAAGTAGTTCCCATCGCATCGCCTTCAATTCGAAGGCTTTCGTCAAATTATAATATTTAATTATGCACTAACTCATATGCAATTACTGGCCAAATGCATAAAAGTGAATGCAAACTTGCAGTTTATGAAGTCTTTTTTGGTGGTTTCATCTGCTCGCAGGCCCACATCAGAGAGGGCAGCTTAAATGGTTTGTGCAGCTGAGTTCGCCAGTGGCAAGCATATCGTATGTACAACTGGTGCAGGGAGAAAGAGATGGAGAGAGTTTAGCCACAAAAATGCTTATATCAATGAAGCTTTTGCTTCAGAGCAACAGTTTTGGTGGATGCTCACGCCAGAGCAAGGCTTGCAAATTGTTTAATATTGTCAGCACTCGGATCTGCGCCCATTTTATGCTTTATTTTTGGTTGAATAAATGAATAAGCAGGATTGCTGTAATTGGAGTGAAGATAATTGACAAGCTTTTGACGAAACAGAAAATCTGTGCTTAGTTCGCTTTTTGGACTGGCGGAGTTGTTGCTTCAAGTCTTCATGGTCATGATTGTGACGGTTGTGAAAATTGCTATGGCTAAGTCATATCAAATTTAAACAATCTATCTATTAAAACCAGTTTAGCTGATAATGAAATATATATTTTATTATGATTTAAGCTTGTGTAACTCTAAAAAAACAGTCGATATATATTGCTAGAATGCGGCTATACAGTACAGTATAAATATATATATAAATATATATAATAATATTTAATTTAATTTAATATTTAATATTTTCTTTGAGTTGCTTGTTGATCCAATCCCATTCATTGTCTTTTCTCTACTGTCTGCTAACTACAGTTGGAGTTAATTGTTGACTTTGCATTCAGTTAGTCTTCGATTCGCCCTCGGCAAGTACCCAGCAGTGTCATTATAGGGTTGCGGAATTGATGACACTCATAAACTATAGCTGGCGCAGAGCAATAATTAAACCTAATGCAGCCGTGTGGCATATATTATAAATTCTGGTCGCACTTAAGCAAGCGATACGTATACGTATGTGCATACATACATACATAATGAATATATAGACATGTGTGCAAAGCACTCTGCGCTGTAATCGATTTGCATAAGCGATTGTCAGAGTCAAAGCCAGAGCCAAAGCTTCCCAGAGCAATTAGACGTACACATAAATAACCATCCATATTTGCACACATATATATACACAGTATGAGTATGCATATGTGTGTGTGTGTGCATATGTAAAAATGCTGAAATTAACAGCTAATTGATGGGAATGCAAAACATATAAATTGAAATTGCTGTAGAATAAAGGCAATCTCTGTTAACGTTTGCCCATAAATATGACTTCTTAATTGCAGATGAATTCATTAGCATAATCCTGTTCAGAAACAGTTACAGACACAGTAGCTGACAGAAGGGCATAAAAAGTGAAATAAAAAAATGATGCAAGTGCTGTGAAAATGTTTCTAATTTGCGGATATTGAGAAAATAAATAGCAAATGTCAAATTCGTTTTAGATCTATTAATGTATAATGTAAAGGGACTTTTATATGCAATTTATAATCGAATTAGAATTAGTTAATAATCTATTCAGGTAAAATTTAAATAATAGGAATTACAAGTTATCGATTGCAAAGCAGACTTTTATATTAATTTTCTCAATATCGATTACTAAAGATTTCTCTTCTCGCTTCTATTATTTTTTACATCTCGATATTAGTTCAAAATACTTAGTCTTCATCAAGAACTTGTACAGAAAATGATCTTGAACTTAGGCACATCAAATTCAATGTATTTTTCATGAATCGTTTGCTACATAAAATTACGAAATAATTGGTCTTCGCTCAATGCCGTAATGTAAAGTTTACTTAGTTTTTGAGACAGACATGCAATACGGCAAATATTTGCTAGATGGCAAACCAGTTGAACAGCACCAAAACACATCGAATGCAAATACAATTTAAAATCAACAACAATTTGTATTTATTTATGTAATTATTTTATTGGCTTATGCATAAAATGCAAAAGCCATTCGAATGCTTATGGCCAAGGTTCTGGGCACGTCTCATGCGAGACAAGACGACGCCAAAACAGTCAAGCACCGCACTTGACCAAACAGTAGACCACAGAGCAACAAACACACTCACATACACATAGCATCTACACATACACACACTTAAACGTATTCAATATCAAGCAAACACAAAATGCAAAACGATTCAAACAAAAGCAAACGGCGGAAGCTAAAAGGCAAAAAGCAAAAAGCAAAGTCAAATTTATACACACGTGGAGGGGATGGTAATAAATCAACAAGAAATACAAACAAAGGTAAGAAAAACAACAGCAAACAAAGCGGCTTAATTGCTAGTTGCTTTATTGTCCAAATGCATTTAGCTGAGCTTCACTCTGCAGTGCCTACAAGTGGAATAATACAGCCTGATGTTCGGCATGTCAGTTCATTTTATCCTTGCTGTGTGACACTGAGCTTTCTCACCGTTGCTACCGTTGTGACTGGGGCTCGTCCATGTCACTGTCCAACTTTCGCTTTCTATAGCGAAACGACGCGCTCTGACATTGAACTTCATTAACCCGGCCTGAATGCGGTACAAATAGCACGAGAGATGGTTAAGCGAACAGGTTTTTACCTTTAACGAAAGACTTGAGCAACGAACTTGCCGGCTTATCCACAAGCGCCACCTACAGCTGCAAACATAGTAACGCATGTGGCGCGCTCTACCGGCTAGCTCAAATACTATCTAAATCAAGCGCCATCTGCAGCTAACAAGATCAGCGAATTGCAAGACGCAAGCAAAAGCTTAAGCAACGAAGTTTCTTCAGTATGCCGCCCTCTAGCGTTAGCTAGCCAAATATATTGAGCTCAAGGCATAGCTTTTATAGAGCTATACAGCCAGATTGCATAAGCTTTAATTTAAAAAAACCTTCTTAAATATATTTTGTATGAAGCAATTATTTATTTTTCGTTTCGGTAATCCAATTTCTTGTTAACAGAATATTCTTAATCGTTCCACCAGCCGGCACCACCGCGAGAGCCGCCGCCAACTGAGGAGCTAGCTCCATGGTTCACTGAATATTCAAAAGAAGCTGGATTGCCCCAAGCATTGCCCGCACCACCAGCACCAGCGCCTTGCCAGCCACCAGCACCAGCACCGCCGCCATAGCCGCCGCCGCGACCGCCGCCAGCACCTGCTCCCTGCCAGCCACCAGCACCAGCGCCAGCACCGCCGCCGCCATAGCCGCCACCAGCACCAGCTCCCTGCCAGCCACCGGCTGCAGCACCGCCGCTAAATCCGCCAGCACCACCATAGCCTCCGCGTCCACCACCAGCGCCGGCGCCTTGCCAGCCGCCACCACCAGCACCACCGCCATAGCCTCCGGCAGCAGCACCGCCGCCATAGCCTCCGCCTCCACCACCACCGCTATAGGCGCCAACACCGCCTCCCTGTCCACCAATGTGCACCTTTGTGTTGCCGTGCAACTGCGAGACATGCGAAGTGAGTCCGGCACCATTTCTGAAACCACCACCGCCGCCGCGTCCTCCACCAGGCAGATAGCCACCGCCACCTGCACCGCCGCGTTGTCCAGCATTAGCTAGGGCCAAGGTGGCCAGCAAGCAGACAAATACCTGAAAGAGAAAGCGTTAGTTGGCTGCCGGCCAAGCAGAGTCCTTTCAATGCATCCTTTTACCTTCATGTTGACAAACAAATGATTTGTTTTCGAAGTTGGTTGATTGTTGTTTTAGTAGCTCTCGGGGCGCTGCTCCAAAAGGTTGTGATGCTTCTTGGCTGTCGGGCAGCACAATTTATAGCTGAAAATTCCATTCGATATTGCTAATGATCTTCGACTTCTAATGGAAAACATATAGGAAAAAATAAACAAAGAAAATAATGAATACAAAAGAAGAAAACAAAAATATCAAAAACTTAAAACATAACTAAAAACTAAACCATGACAAAAAAACATAAAAGATTGTTTCAGGTGCCGCACTTCAAATACACTACTCAAAGATATTGAATCTATGAATTTGATTTATGTTTTTAGATTGGAAGACTGTGAGTCTTCTCCTGTGAGCAAAGGTATGACCATATATAAGGAAAGTTATATAAACCACTGTAAGGACTTATTTATTATATCTTTAGCTGCCTTGAGGTTTACTGTTCCTAATACTAGAGTTATTTACATCAACTATGTAGGCACTGTCTTAGAACTTTTCCGGCAACATGCTATAGCCCATATAGATAAAAATCTGGCTTAACTGCTCCAATCCCAGTCCATTTTACACTATGAAAATGATCGCATCTCTTTGAGATTTCCCTCTCTCTCTCCCTCTCCTCTCTCTCCCTCACTCTCTATCTCTCTCTAAGCCCTTCATCTTGTATCGCAACATGGCTAAAGTTCTTCTTGCTTGTCTTTCAGCTCTCGCTCTGGCCCTCCCTTTGCCCGCCCTCCTATATAGCAATATAGCTGATGTACTGTCCGCAGTAGGGCATTAATTTCGATTTGGATTTGCTTTATGCTGTAATGTTTATCGCTCGATTCTAGTCGAGCGCCATCCATTGCTGAGTGGCTTTGCAACGCAGTGTGTGTTGCCTTTAATTAAAAGTTTGAAGACAAATTAAATGAAAAGAAACACAAAAACACAAATTAATTGTTGGCTAAAAGACGGCAATTAGACGGCAATTTGCCTGCGGCGCGCTTTGCGTAATCTGGCGCGCTGCTTGGCTTAAAAGCAATGCCGACTAGACGCCGAGCCTGCAGTTGAAAGTTATGGCTGGAGATTTGCGCATTGCGCATTGCGCTTACGCCGCGTGGGCCGAGGATAAACAACACAGCTGCCAACAGTGTGTCTTGTTCCCTTTCCATTCCTACTTTTGTTTTATATTTTTTTTTAAGTTATACCTTTTTTTGAAAGTGAAGAGCTTTGATGATGCAACCATATGCTGAAAACTTCCCGAAACACTTCAAGCAATTGCAAATGTTAGCAAATGCTGCAGCTGCCATACAAATCTAACCGTGACAGCTTTCAAGTAGCCTCGGGACTTGATATAAGCGCGTGAAGAAACTCTACAAGCACCTGGCCAGTCTTTAGCTCGGCCAAAAATCTACTCATTTATTATAAGTCCGTCTACTCAATCCTTTCTCAGTTATATATTTGGAACATTTCTTTACACATTTAAAGCAGATATTGATAAGTACTCAAGACTTACTACTTAATTAAAACTTATTCAAATATTATAATATTGGTAAACTGGATTGAAATGAAGTTGAAAAGTAGACTGTCCAAAGTTTGTGTCGAACGAAATATCGAAAATTAGTTATCGAAATTAATATTATTTATTATTTTAAAATTTATCAATGGTCAAAAGTCGAACAATTATACGGATAATAATAATGATAGCTAGAGACAAAGGCAAAAGTAGAAGCAGAGGCAGAGCTAGAGGTAGGGATACAAGCAGAGACAGAAGTAGATGCAGGGATAGAGACAAAGACCCAGGAGCAAAGGAAAGAAACAAAGACAAAGAAACAGGAGGAGACAAAGAGGATGATGCAGAAATATAGGCAAAAAAAGAGGCAGAAGCAGATAGATAGAGGCAGAAAAAGAGATAGATACAGAGATAGGGGCAGAAGGAGAGGAAGAGACAGAAGTAGAGAAAGAAGCAGAGAACGAAGCAACGACAGGGATAGAGACAGCTACAAACAGAGACAAAAAGGCAGAGGCAGAAGCAGGTATAAACTAAAAGGAAGTTATAGTGTCATAGTAGATATACTATATATAGAAGCAGAAACATAGGCAGAAGCAGAGGAAGAAGCGGATGCAGAGGTAGATGCAGAGACAGGAGTAGACGAAGATGAAGATGCAGGAAAATAGGCAAATACAAAGGCAGATTCACAGATAGGAGCAGAAGCAGAAACAAAAACAGCGGCAAGGGCAGAGGGGCATAAGCAGAGGCAAAGCCAGAAGCTAAGATAGAAGCAGAAGCAGGGGCATAACCAGAAGCTGGAGTAGACAAAGGGGAAGAAGCCGAATAAGTTACGGCAACAGAGACCGAAAACAAGAGAAGAAACCTAAGTTAAAAGTCATGAACGGCACCAAGGCAGAATATAATTCTCGGCCATCTAAAGGCTTAACTGATAAGCGGTAAGTGGTCAAAATAGCTTCAGTATCCATTCCAGATTGCCGAATATAAAGCTTGACAGTTGCAGCAGTCATGTTAACCAGAATATATTCGTTCACTCAGCCGCCATTGCACAAGAAAACAATTTAGTTGTAAGATAGATTATAAGTGTTATGGGAATCAAATGGTTTTAAGCAGTTCGGCTACATTAAGAACCGTTACATATCGTTATCGATAAGACATACCGTTTTATCGATACGCTAAGCATGCTCAATGACTTCTGCAGCGGAACCACTTAAGCAAATTGACAAATTATTAGATGCGCTCAATTTGAATGTGAGCAGCCGAAAGTCCAACAGTAGCCGCCGAGCTTGATCTGCTCATATTTCATATTTCAAAGCTCATATTTTATAGCTTTATAGGGTGTATCGCATGCGCAGCAACTCGCTACTTTCTTCAGCTCCCAATGAAAGCCGAAGAGACTCTCTGTCACACGCGCACATTCGTCCACTCTCTCCATCTCTCTCTCTCTCGCCATTTGGCTCTCTGTGACGCTTTTACTCTCACTGCAGCTGGCAGGTGTTAGCTAGACAAGCGGGCAGCCGGCTTGGGTGAGAGCTCTCTCCCCATTTCTCGCTCGCTTGGCACGCTCTCTTTCGCTTGCCGGCGCCGCTTTACATGCTGTGGGCGCTGCTGTCTCTGTCGCTGGCTGCTTGAGCCGGGCTTCATTGGCGCTGCTGCAGATTTGGCCAAATCATTCCGTTGGGAAGTTGGAACTGGGAAACGTGTCTGACGGATCGCTACCGGCCCCGGTTCACAGGCAACTCCATCGTCGTGTCGCTGTTGTCGTCGTCAATGTTTTCGTGCCCCAAGCTGTTGCAAGCGCGTGCATTGCTTACAAGCTGTTTGTCCGCTTGACTTATTGCCGTTACGTTTGTTCGACGACTGCCAAAAGAAAAAAAAGAAAAAAAAATTACCAAAAAAAAGGAATCTTTGACCCCAAGACGTTGCAAGTTGCAGTGCTTCTGCCAGAGCCTGAGCCTGTTTCTCCTATTCGTGCGCGCCTTTTGTATTTCTGTTTTGGCGGTGTTTTTGTGTGTGTTTTTTTTATGGTTTTTCGTTTTTAGTTTTTATGCAACATTCATTTACAACACTGCGCGCAATGCGATTAATTATGGTTGGCAAAGTATGTGCAAAAGCCACTGGAAAATGTTTTGTGTGCGCTAATGTCGACAAGTATTCAAAATAGTTGCTTATCCATGTCTAACAAACAACAACAACAACAGCAAGCGGAATAAAAAAGCAACAAGTTCAACAATCATTTAATTATTTTTGCAAACAATTGACGCAGCCCGATTCAAAAAAGGTTAGTTTTTTGCAATATCTATTTGAAGCCTGAGTTCAAAGCACTTTAACATTAATTTGAAAATAATCAGGAAGACATAGCTGCCTTTAGTTTATTTTTCAGTTTTTAATTTTATAATATATATGTAAAGGAAATAATTAAGGAAAAATCTGTTGATTTTGTCGCCATTTGTTCCACTTCGAGTCCCTGTTCATGGCCATGCACTTGGTGCTCGAAACTTCGTCTGAAGTGTGCGCAGTTTTCTATGAAATTCCAAGCAAGTCCATCATGTCTAGCTGCCGTTCATGGTCTATTAATTGTTGGTCTGCCGATTTTCTTTTTAATACTCATAATTCATATATTTGGCTGTAGGTGTTACTTTTTATGCGCGCCCAATAGTCCGTAATTGCAGAAAAGCTGAGAGAGTGAAGCAAGTAAAGCGCAACAGACGTTGCCCTGCCGCGGGCCTGGACCAGCCGGACAATCAGCTGGCCGGGCCAAGAGCAGTTCCTGCCACCCATCGAATCGAAATTGAAATGAATGTGAGAGATTTTCGCGTGCCTGCTAATGCGATTTGTTTCACACATTCGGTCGCGATGCCAGTGCCGATGTTTTGTTTGGCTTCGTGTTTATTTCTATTACAATTTGCGTGCAGAACAAAAGACTTAGGCAACGAACTTGCAGTAACATGCTGCTGGAACGCTGCGCTTGCGGTTTTTTTCTGTTTTCTTTCATTTTTTTTTTGTTTTTGGGCAGCCGCATTGCGTGGCTTTCTCCACTTGACAAGCCCAATGCCGATTCTAAGTGCCACTGCTAATAAGCCAACACCAACAGCGGCAGCAACAACAACATTGTTGTGCTGTGACAGGGCTTGTGTGTGGGTCGTCTTCTTGCAGCGTTGGCAGCTGGAGACGAAATCGCATGTTTGCTCACTTGGAAAACAGTTGCTGGCTGCGAAAACTGAACTAACTGAAATGCTATTAATTGCCACTCGCACACACACACACACACACACACACACACACACACACACTGGCACACACGCAACTAGTTGACTTTCATTGTCTTTGCGGTTTGCCGTTTGTTTAGCTGACTTATTATGCCGTATGCTTTATGTCTAATGCTCGGTTGCCTTTGTCTTTGACTGCGGCTTCCACTCGGTTTTTACATACGCGCCAAGTTAATCACACTTTTAACTCCATTTCGCATAATACTAATTTCATAATTTGCAC